CGGTTTAATTGGCATAAAGCTTGCATTCCTGATTTTCAGCCCGAGCACCCCCACCCCGCTTCCGATCTGCACCCTCAGCTAGCCGACCGCCCAGTACGGGCCTCCCTCCCTCTGCTCAGCCAGCCCAGGGCCACTCATTTGAATCTGGCTTCGTGATTCTACCTACGCGTGCAAGGATGGGCCCTCGACCCTTTTCTCATTGCAAATCGGATTCTTCTGAACCACAGTTTAGTACCTCCAGCCCCCTGAGGGCATTCCTGCGGAGGGCTGCGCACGGCCCTCTGCCTGGTACATTGTCCAGTGGTGACCTCAGCCGCTGTCCCCTTTGCCAGAGAGTGAGTATGCGAGGGCCGCCCCATGGTGCTTCTGAGCTTCTGTCTCACGGGTCTGTCTTGCCTGGGGACACTAGGCAAGTGGAATGCCTTTGTCCCCTCTGTCCCAGTGAGAAGCCCAGATCCTATCTTTCTGATTTACCACACCCCATCTTATCTCTTAACTCTCTCAAGGAAAGAGAACACCTCTCTCTACCTTCACAGCCACTTAGGATTTCCTTGGATTAATCAACAGCCTTGACCACCCCCACCTCCACCCCCCGCCCCCCTCCATTTCTCTTTACTGGAGCCAGACTCCTTTCTGAAATGCAGCTCTTATGTGGACATTCCCCCTTTGAGAACCCTCCAGTGGAATCTGTTGTCCCATTACTAAAGTCCCAAGTCGCTAAAGGGACTTGGCAGATCTCACACACCCCGGACCCCTGCCCAGGGTTGCCTTGATGCAGAACCCTGTTTTCTGTGTGACTCGGAAGGGCTGGTCTCCTGCCCTGTTCGGCGCAGAGCTGGCTGCACGTTTGGTACATGGCAGGCTGGTACCGCCAGAGACGTGCCGTGTGTCCGCTGCGTCTGCTTTGCCACTGTTGGCTCGTTCTACTGATTTTTCTAGGACTTGGACCCTAGTTTCTACATGTTATTATAGAGGTTTATGGCTGTTTTTTGTTGTTGTTTTTTTTTGAACACCCTTTGAGTGGGAGTGGATTAATTCGGTAGTGCTTCCTTGGTCAGAACTGAACCTCCATTTGGAATCCTGTTCCCATAGAGAGGGAAACAGGAACACGGTTTCTTATACGCGGAGTATCTGGAAAGCTGGTGCTTGGAGAGCGCAGCCTGTACTTACTGTTTAAAGGCCTCACTGGCTATTTTCCCACCTCCTTGTTCTCACCCCTGCCCCCTCACTTCTTGGAAGAGGAAACCCAAGGCGGGGCTTTTCCAGGGCCTCGTGACCTTGGTGGAGCATCGTGTGAAAACCTAAGCCTCAGGGTCCTGGCGCCTGGGATCTTTCTCCTACACGGTGGATGTTTCTTGCTCTGTTGATGCTTCCAAAAGTTGTCGATGTGTGCTGGCCTCAGCCTTGCCCTTGAATTCTTTATGGCTCCCCCTAACTTAGGACAGGAACCAGACTGACTTAGGTGCACAATCCTTGCCTTAAAACCCATTTGCTGTGACCTCCATCGAGTCCTTAACTTCTCCAGTCTCAGTTTTCTCATCTGTGGAATGGTCATAACAGCACCTACCCTGCAGGGGTGTGGTGAGGATTAAGGAAGAAGCTCCTTAAATCTCCAGATGCAGCAGGGACTCTATACATATTTAATTAACTGTTGCCCTTGCTGGGAGTCTCTGCTTTTTTTTTTTTTTTTTTTTTAAATCCACCATTTGCTAGCTGAGTCACATCTGAGATCAGAGGAGTTATTTAACCTCTCTGGGCCTCTAGTTCCTTCCCATTTGTAACATGGAGTTAGTTTAAGTTCCTATCCTGTAGTATTTATTGATCATCTAGTGGAGTAGTATTGAACATGGCCTGGCCATAGGAAGTGTGCTCCAGAAAGGTCTGATTTCTCTGTGGTTCCTGTTACTGATTTCTTATAAAAGTTGTACCTGGGAGGCTCCCAGGACCCTATACCATAGTCAACTGCATATTTTCTGAAAAATATTTTAAGTAAATTTTTTTCCTATTCATGCATGGTCACTACAAAAACAAATTCCCTTCAAAGCACAAAAATTAAAACTTGTAATACCATCTAAATGTCAATATTTTTATAGCTCTTCTAATTTTTTCCCGTGTGTTATGAATCAGTACATCTTCTCCCTGTTGGAATTCTTTGTATTTTTAAAGACCTAACGGGAAGAACAGTGCACTTACCTCAATAGCTCAGGGTCAATGGTGGATTTTCATTTATGCCTCTGACTTCTGAAGCTCGGCTCTGTCAAAGGCCGGGGGACTTTGGGGAGGTCTCCACCTCACTCTGTAGCCCTGGACGGAATGTGAAAGGTCACTCCTGCGCTCCTGTCACCATGTGTATGGTGACAACGTGTGCCTGACTGGTTGATGCTAGAGAAAGCCCGCCGTTCCAAGTTTACATCTATGGGGTCAGTTGTTAAAGCACATTAAGGCTTTTTAATAGTTGTTTTTTTTTTTTTTTATTATTTCTAGGAGAGAGAGAGACAGCGTGAACAGGGGAGGGTCAGAGAGAGAGGGAGTCACAGACTCTGAAATTGGCTCCAGGCTCTGAGCTGGCAGTCAGCACAGAGCCCGACGCGGGGCTCGAACCCACGAACCGCGAGATCATGACCCAAGCGAAAGTCGGATGCTTAACCAACTAAGCCACCCAGGCGCCCCACATTAAGGCTTTTTAAAATTAGCTTTATAAGAGGGCAACACAAGGGATCTTTGTGGACCTAGATACACAAACCTATGCAGGTGATAGAAGTGTTAGAGCTTCATATCCACGTACACGCAAGCACATGTGCACACACAGGTGAGCACCAGTTAGTCTGGGAAATCGGAATGGGATTCACGGATTGTATCAATGTCAGTGCCCCCGGCTGGGATGTAATTTCACAAAAGGTTACCACTGTGGGAAGCTGGGTACAGGGCATAAGGGATCTCTGTATTATTTCTTGCATCTGCACATGATTCTCTAGGCATGTGATTAACTACAAAGACCTCAATTCAAAAAATTCGCTTGCAAAATGTAAGTGTAATTGCTGATTGATATAATCCTGGAGGAAAAAAATAAAAACAGCTCTGAAGTGTGCTCTCTCATATTAGGGTGACATGGGGCCAGATGAGTTAAGGTGTACAGACACTGGTGTCAGTACAGAGGCCTTTTGTGACTGTGGTGGGGGTGGGGAAGGGGGTCTGTGCGGGAGCCTGTGGGGGGCCTCCTGCATCTTTATCTGCACGGCCACAGCCCAGCACAGCTGCCCAGCATGAACACTGACTCCTTTTGGGGCATAGGAATCTTCACTTAGAGATTTCTCCTGACCCCGAGCTGATGAACAATTTAGAGCAATTGGAGCCGGACTCCATCTCCATCAAATTAAGTTCTGGTTGAAACCAACCCTTAAAGCTCTTCCTTGCTCTTGCTAGTCGGGCAGCTCCCCGGAGGTGAGGGAAGGGGGTGCCCAAGCCGAGCCCTTCCTCCCAGCGAGCTCCTCAAGGTGCTGGGTGGAGGAGAGCCGGCCAAGGAGCCCCCTCTCCTGGCTCTGGGAGGCCTTGCTGGTAGGGTTTCAGATTTGGAACCAGATTTTGGGTCTCCCTAAGCTAGAATATCATTCCAACAGATAGGATTCCTCTAAGCCCATTCACGAGGCTGATCTTTACTTGGGTTTAATAAAATATTTAGAGACCTATCGCATTCCAGTCGCAGGCTGAGTAGTACGCTTAATTTCCAAATGCCTTGCTTGGGCTGCTCCTGAATGTGGGTCATTGTGAGAGTTTTACCAAGTCCTCGGCCTTAAGGAATTATCTACTGGAGTCATAGTTATGAAGAGTCACTATGCCATTACGTATTGCAAAAGTTGCAGGCTTAACAATTTGTACATGTGGGTCCTAACCCCATTTACATCCATTCCTTCCTACACAGAATAAAGCCCATGCTACCTTCTTGGTGTTTGTTGAATTGCAAAGCAATTCCCTGCCATCGATTTAAAATAAAACAGCCCTGAGATTTTTCTGCAGACTAAAGCATTCTTTCATCACATGACTTTTTTCAATAGGAGAGCAAAGACGTACAGTCCTTAAGTGACCTCAGTGAATTACATGTATGCCGACATATCACTCTGTGTGTATAAGTGTGCATATTTGTGTATAGCAGCAATAGTTAGTCTTTTTGGTGTTGAGTAAAAAGACTACTACCGTGGTTTTCCTGGTATGGAAACTGGTTGCATATCCTTAGAATTTAGGAGTGGGGATTGGAGGGGCTCTGCCATCATGAAATTATCAGCTAAGGTTGTTATTTAATAATTATATTGCTAGCTGCTTTCTGAGGGATTCCACTGTGTCCATTTGGTTGGGTCTCTGTGGTTCGTGAGGTCTAGACCCTGTAGTTAGGGTAAGTCACACGTTGGTGGCTGTGCTGCTGACCCATTTCCGTTTGCTGAGTTTAATTTTTTTAATGTTTCATTTATGTTTTGAGAGAGAGCAAGTGCATGAGCAGGGGAGGAACAGAGGGAGGGGGAGACACAGAATCCAAAGACTCTGAGCTGTCAGCACAGAGCCCGACGTGTGGCTCTAACCCACGAACCACGAGATCATGACGTGAGCCGAAGTTGGATGCTCAACCAACTGAGCCCCCCAGGCGCCCCGTTTGCTGAGTTTCTATGCAGCCAGACCCCTTTCCACTCCAACACCCCGTCCTTAGTGTCCCCTTTGAATGTGCACATGCATGGGAGTGCGCGCGCACACAGACACACACATATACACACGCATGGTGTCAAAGCCTTGCAGGATTGGAAGTTACCCACTCTTAGTTCTCCTTGGAGCTCTTCCCTGGAAATGAAATCCAGTGGTGCCGAGCACAGTGTGGGTTGAACAAAACTGACAAAACCAACAATGCTTTGTGTCTGATCCACAGGCACAATTTGAAGGGCCACCTTTTTAGGTGGGTCATTTATTTGGCCGGTTTGCGATATCCATAGTTTCATTGCCACTTTTATTTCTTGCAGTCTTATGTGCTGAAAGAGTTGGCCAGATGACTAAGACGTATAATGACATAGACGCTGTCACTCGGCTTCTTGAGGAGGTAAGTGTTTCCGGGGAGGCAAAGAGCCATTTATGATGGCCTGATTGTAACTTAAATTGATTAAAGAATACATTCTGTCTGTCTCAGTGAAGAATTGCCACAACTGGGCCCTCTCGGGGTGTAATGCATTGGCTTTACTTTTCTAACTGGTAGCTGTGTAGGTCTTTGTAGCTGTAACTTTGTACAAGTATGTTGGGTTTTAAAAGGAATGTACTCATGACATTAAAAAATAGGGCTACTTGCTAGAATAACTGGGTTAAGATTTTTAAAATTAAAAAAAAATTTAATGTTTATTTTTGAGGGAGAGAAAGAGAGAGCATGCGCAAATGGAGAAGGGCAGAGAGAGAGGGAGACACAGAATCTGAAGCAGGCTCCCAGCTCTGAGCTGTCAGCACAGAGCCTGGTGCAGGTCTCGAACTCCTGAACTTCGAGATAAGACCTGAACTAAAGTTGGACACTTAACTGGGCCAGCCAGGCTCCCCATATATATTTTTTTAATGTTTATTTTATTTTTGAGAGCGGGCACAAGCCAGGGAGGGGCAGAGAGAGAGAGAGAGAGAGAGAGAGAGAGAGAGAGAGAGAGAAAGAGAGGAGAGACAGGGATCCGAAGCAGGTTCTGCACCGATACCCATGGGGCTCGAACTTGCGAGCTGTGAGATCATTACCTGAGCCAACGTCGGAGGAAGCTCAACCGACTGAGCCCAGGCGTCCCAGCACCACTGGCTTTTGAAAATGGTTCATCACAGACCGTTTCCCTCTGTGTCCATTTCCCCAGCAGCTCCACACTGTCCAGGCTCCCTTGTATTTCCAGCATCCGTTCCTCACTCCGCACACCGTTAGCCGTCAGGTCATCTGAAGGGGCTCTGTCTGGACCTTTCTTTTCTTTCCAAGGCCTCTCCACGCCTCCAGCCCCCAGAGCATCAGCAGTGAGGTTTTGTGTCTCTCTCCGGCTGCCCCATCCCGAGCCCGCTGACTGCTTTGCCCCACCCCCGACACTTAGAGACACTTCGAAGTCCTCCCTGTGGTACCCAAGGCCGCATGGCAGTCACATTCTGAAACCCTTCCAGCTTGCTCCCCGGGACCTGCCCCATCTATCCCTGGCTCATGGGGGCTTTGAAGCTGTCCATCACCACGCCCCGGGTGCCCCCGTGAACACAGGCGTCATCGTGCAATTCGCTTTGTTCTGTTCTGTACTTTTTCTGGGATGCTGCCTCTGTGAGTGTCCACTGCCTGCAGTTCTCGGAGGGCCACGTGATCCCCCACAGGGCGAGATTGGTGTCTGCTTGGACGTCTGAGGATGGCTTGCAAAGGGCCCTGGGAGCACAGCTCTTCGTGCCCAGCCTGGGCGCCAGCAGTCCCCACCCCCAGCCTATCTCCTGAGCAGCTGCCACTCCACGGAGAGCACGCTGCCCTCTTTTGAAAACGAGCTGTTGGAAAGAACACTTGTGGAGGACTTTCCTCGGTGGCTCTGTTGTGCCTTCTCGGTTTTATTTTTAGCAGCTCACCATGGCAATGGTCTGGGCGTCTCTGTGTTTTGTTCATAATGCCATTCTTCCCCTTGTCCTGATAAGAACCATATCTGAGTCACTGCCTTTCCTTGGAACTAGGCGGGTTCCCCGGTTAAAGTCTCCCCGCCTGGGTCACGTGACTGTCATGCCGTGCTGCGTTTTGCTCGGTGTGGCTTTGGCTCCGTTTCCTCCGAGCCTTTGGTTTGCAGGCAGGGTGCGGGGGGCGCGGGGGTGGTGCGCACCAGATGCCAGAGCCCAGCCCACGAGGCCCGCGGGAGGCTTTTGCTTCTGCCTCCGCTGGGAAGAGGACTCTGCTGCTCGCCTTGGCTTCCTGCCGGTGGAGTTACCTTTTGGGGAGGGCTGTTCCTGGGGTCCCTGAGTCATGTGTTTTATCCTGAGATTGGTGAATGAGATGAGTCAGCTGCTCAGCGTGGGAGGCCGCTCCTCTCCGTCCCCAGGGCTGTGTGAGGTGGCATGAGTGCCACTCTCACGAGGGGCTGAGCCTAGTCACAGTTCTTGTCAGCACAGCCCAGGCGGGAAGAGGGAGCGAGCAATCAGAATGAGCTCCGCTTGGCTGCTTTTTCCAAGGAGTGAAGGAACGAGCTCTCTTCATTGAGGATTTCCAAGGGCCTCAGTTATTTATTTGTAACCTGTCATTCTCACTGTCTTAAGCCAGGGGCCATAGCCTAGATGTTCCCGTGTTTTTTATTTTTTATTTATTTATTTATTTTTTAATGTTTTTATTTATTTCTAGGAGAGAGAGAGAGAGAGACAGCATGAGCAGGGGAGGGTCAGAGAGAGAGGGAGTCACAGACTGAAAAAGGCTCCAGGCTCTGAGCTGGCAGTCAGCACAGAGCCCGATGCGGGGCTCGAACCCACGAACCGCGAGATCATGACCTAAGCGAAAGTCGGACGCTTAACCGACTAAGCCACCCAGGCGCCCCATCCCGTGTTTTTTAAAGTAAACACTTACCGAATGTCAGCTGGATGTAATAAATAGGAATGCCTTCATTCCTCTGATTCTCCAGAAGAAACCCAACCTGTCTGTCCCCTTAGGAAAGTAAAAACAGAGTTACTACAGTAAGTTTTTACCTATTGTAACTTTTAGATGAACCGCTTTTAGGTAACTTTTAAGTAGTCTCTACACCCAATGTGGGGCTTGAACCTACAACCTGAGATCAAGCATCACACGCTCTAGTGACTGAGCCAGCCAGGCGCCCCACCTTAGGTAACTTTTAGGCACCACGTAATTTGTTTTAAGTTTTTCATTTCACCCATAAATATTTTTACTATTATTTCTTCTTTCTTTTTTCCTCCTGCAGAGAGTTTTTGTTTATGTCACTATAAAGATTAGATATTTGGTTTAGATGAGGTGAGGGCCGCCCGGCCCCTAGGTTGTCCTGAGGGGGTGCGAGGGGCTTCATCGAGCGCACAGCCCATTTGTTTTTCTTCCCCTGCCCGTCGCTCTGAAGCCCCGTGCGCCGCGGGAAGCCCTCACCTTCGGGTGCTCCGACTGGCCTCGTCCAGCGGACCCTCACGTGATGCTTCCTGCTTGATTTGTGTGCCGTGGGCCTGCACACAGGATGTGGCCCCGGCGTACAGAATGCCTGTGCTTGTGGAGACGTAGCGTGTGCGTGGCGTGACGGGTGCGTGATGGCAGCGCAGGGCAGCGATGCTGTGAAGCAAAGCATGAAGCGCTGGCCGCGTATTTGGTGCGAGGGCTTGTTCTGGTAGGTGGATGTAAGAGGCCTGCGTTCGCTTTGTGGAGACCACGCTTCCAGACGGACACTCGGATTGCGGTTTTAATTGAGGGTTAGCCGGTGGAAACCGCCTGCACAAAATGCTAACTTCGAGTCGGCCTGGAGAGCTAGGTCTCCTCACAGAGTCCCTTTAGGTCCTTTCCCCCAGGGGCCAAATAAGCGCACCTGTTGAGCTAAGTACCCTCCTAGGAAGGCCTGTAACCAGCATGGATATGTACACAGAGAGGAGCATCTCCGTTCATTGGGCAGAGTCACTGGTCCCCTTTGGTCCTTGGCAGGCATGTGAGGGGTCACGGATGGTGGAAATAAGTTGGACGTGTTTGTGGCTCCCTTGATGTGACACCTGGCTGGCTTCCGGAGCGGTGGTGATAGCCAGTTGCAAGTTTCAGGACTGCGAAGACCAAGTGAAGAGTGACCATCATCTGTGTGAGAGAGAGAATGTCAAATCCAGAGTCTCCCCAAACCGCCCTTTGACCTTCAGTGCTCGGCTCATACTTCAGAGAAACTCCCGTGAAAAGTGAGGGAAGATGTGTTGCTAGTGCAAGGAATGATTTGGTGCATATGTGAGAAGTTAGAAGTAAAAGCTGCTTTTTTTTTTTTTCTTTTTTAAATATCATACGACTCTGAATCATAATGCTAGAAGACTTTTCCACGGGTAGCCCCACCTCCCCTCCCCATCTAAGATGAAAACAGATGAGGAAACCAGGTCAGGGGATGTTCAGGCAGAACCCGACCTCTTAGAGTCATGGAGTAGAAGGGTTTTCCCGGAGCAGTTAAACTTGACCAGTACCTGCTGTAAGAAGTGCATCTTTGGTTATGACTTGATACTCACGTATATAAACACATGACAAGCAGAAGCGCAAACATGAGCTAATGCCCTTATTACATGGAATGCACTTTGGTATTTCAGTTTTGTGCCATTGAATTTCATTTAAAACAAAACAGCAGCTGCCATTACTAAAATGAGTCTCAACCTACTGACAGTTTATAAAAAGCTAACCAGGAGTGTACCTGACCCTTGTTAAGCAGAGCGTGTTGGCCCAAGGCCATGTACTGATTTGTCTTTGTCGCCCGTTCAGATGGGACACCAATCAGGAGAGATAATGGGCTTTTGGTTCAGTTTTATAAGGAAATTAGTCATGTCAAGAATCAGAGTTGAACTTACCTGTTAAGTAAGTTACCTGTTGGAACTTTGTTAACACCTTCGGTGTCTGTCCCTTCACTAATGGCACCTCTCTGAGGACACAGGGACTAGCTTTATAAGGATTTCACAAATACCAGAGCTGCTGCAGAGGAATGTTTCTGGAAGCACATGTCTCCTTGTGTTCATTGGATTCTGAGGGTGTCCCTCATTGCGTAGCTCTTGCACGTCACGTGGGTAGAGCGCTGCCCTCCTCTGAGCAGGTGTCCCATGCTGGTGCATGGATGGTGAGTTCTTCATTCCTTTCTCATTCCTGAACACCCTCTTTTCCTCAGTTGACACCAAGCACCCTTGGCTCCTTCAGGAAGCACAGGTGCTTTGAACGTCTGTTCTCCCTTTTGCCTCCCATAGAAAGAGCGGGATTTAGAACTGGCCGCTCGGATCGGCCAGTCGTTGTTGAAGAAGAACAAGACGCTAACCGAGAGGAACGAGCTGCTGGAAGAGCAGGTGGAACACATCAGGGAGGAGGTGAGGAGCCGGCGGCCGGGCCGGGTGGGCTTGGCTCAGGCCCCCAGAGCTGCCGGCCCCGAGGCGGCCACCTGCTGCGCCTTCTCTTCCGGGGGTTGTGGACGGCGCCAGCTGGGGCAGGAACAGCCCTCACAGTCCCCGTCTCCTAAGAGTCCAGACCCTCACGTAGGCTGGGAAGGACACTCGGCACGTGGCAGGGGTGCACACAGGCTAAGACGGCGGTGAGAAGGGGCTCCTGAGGGGGGCCGGCGTGCGCAGGCTGGAGGGGAGCCTGAGGAAGGCAGCGACTGCACGATCTTCCTACAATGTGACTTCATGTTTGTAAAACAGACCAAAAAAATAGCCTGTTGTCATGATGGAAACCCTATCATTTCCATGATACAAATCTTGGCCAAAGGGTATCAGTGGTCAGGGGCAGGGAGATGAAGGCTTTAGGCTTATCTTAAGGGACTGAAGTTTCAGGGGAGTAGAACTGGTTTCCTGGAAGGTCACAGTGTGGGCAGGAGTTGGAAGGTTCTCCAGAGTCAGATGGTGTCACAAGGCTTAGGAGATAGAGCTGGGCCCTACTCTGTAGCTTCTTTTTTTAATATTTATTTATTTTTGAGAGAGAGAATGAGAGAGTGCGCATGCACACAAGCAAGGGAGGGGCAGAGAGAGAGGGAGACACAGAATCCAAAGCAGGCTCCAGGCTCCAGGCTATTAGGCAAGGAGCTCGATGCGGGGCTCAAACTCAAGAACCATGAGATCATGACCTGAGCCGAAGTCGGACCCTCAACCGACTGAGCCACCCAGGCGCCCTGTAATTTCTTCTCCATTATCCTGTGCTTTTAACTGGCAGTTTTAGCTGTGAGGACTTCCATTTGATTTTCTTCTCCTGGTTTAAAAAATTTTATTTATTTATTTATTTATTTATTTATTTATTTATTTTTTGAGAAAGAGACAGAGCATGAGCATGGGAGGAGCAGAGAGAGAGAGGGAGAGAAAGAAACTGAATCTGGCTCCAGCCTCTGAGCTGTCAGCATAGAGCCTGACATGGGGCTCAAACTCATACACTGTGAGATCATGACCTAAGCTGAAGTCGGAAGCTTAACCGACTGAGTCACCCAGGCACCCCTCTTTAAAAAAATTTTTTTTTACCATTTATTTATTTTTGAGAGAGAGAAAGAGAGAGAATCCCAAGCAGACTCCGCACTGTTAGTGCACAGCCCAACACAGGGCTCGAACCCACAAATCCACAAGTCAGCCGCTTCACTGACTGAGCCACCCAGGCGCCCCTCTTCTCCTTTATATTCTATCAGAGACTTTTTGAGTGGGAAGGGATGCCCTTACTTGTGTCTCTTACTTGTATTGAGAACTTTTCCTCATGAAAGCTGTTCCCAGCTGTTGTTGTCTGGGTTTAATAGTTTGCATATGATGAAACAGGTTTGCATCTTTTTTTTTTTTTTTAATGTTTTTAAATTTTATTTCTGAGAGACAGTGTGAGCAGGTGAGGGTCAGAGAGAGAGGGAGATACAGAATCTGAAGCAGGCTACAGGCTCTAACTAGCTGTCAGCACAGAGCCCGACGCGGGGCTCGAACCCACAAACCGTGAGATCATGACCCGAGTTGAAGTTGGACGCTTCACCGACTGAGCCACCCAGGCGCCCCGGTTTGCATCGTTTGAAAGACAAGGTGGAATGTGGTTGTGTTTTGGAGAAGTAGAGTTGACCCCTGCCTTCCTTGCCTCCTGCGGGCGTGACCTGACTTCCCCTTCTCCTGGGCATTAAAGCCTGCTGGCTCAGCCTGGTCAGAGCAGAGGAGCATGCCACCCAGCACCCAATAACTGGTCACCATCGCCCCTCACCTGCTTCCCCACATCACCGCCCTTGTGCAGGGCGTGGGTTCCTCACCCCACACAGACAGCATCCAACTCTTTGGAAATGGAAGTACCTCTTTTTCCTTGGGAAAGCTTTGAATTTGAAAGCTGTAATATGTCCCCCTTTGGTATTTCATTAAGTTGCCGATCTAGATACTGAAACTAAAGCTTTCATGCACATAAAATGTGCTACTCTGTGGAAGCCATAAACACTCGGTTGTGTAGGAAAGCCGAAATCAACCATAGACCCCAAATCAGATTAGAAACAAGAAAGAATTAAAACTTCATTCTAATTCTTGCTTACAGCAGTCGCTCCCTCCATACCGAGTGGTAAAAGGGCAAATGAAAACTTTAAGGCACGGGTTTGTTTATTTTAGACGCCGATTATAAATCCGGTGATTTGCAACAGCTGCTTTAGCAGTAATCAGTGTGGCCACGTCCTGATGTCTGCCTCTGTTCTCCTGTGTCTGAAATTACTATCTTGTGATCCTGGAGTTCAGAGCAAGGCCTGAGCAGGCTTGGCCAGGAGCCCTATGAGGGTGTAGCCGTCACAGGGTGGGGCTGTGAGGGATGCCGAGTGTGACGGACAGACTGCCCACCCAGAGCCGACATCGCCAGGGTCCCATCCGGAGCGCCATTTGGGTTCAGCAGAAATTAATGGCCTCTTTTTTTCACTTGGTAACAGGATCTTTTCCTCTGGCCATTTGCCCAGCTGGTCATCTGGCTACTTGCAAAACCCATATGCTGCCTTGGCCCCCCACATATCATTCTAGAACCTTCTAGTCCCCTCTCACCTCCTCTCTGAACCAAAGTAAACATCATAAATTTAGGCAGAGCGCTTTCTGTCCAAAAAATAATGGACCGTATTTTTCTTAAATGGGGTCAAACGCAACCTCTTCGACGAGCGCAAAACCCGTGACATGCCTTCACTTTTGGTAAGGAACGAAATGTTGTCACCCAGCAGCAAGTGTCGGAAGGAGAGGGGGCATTGTCAGCGCTTGGGGATGAACGGGAGCCCCTGCTGTTTCTGTGCAGGTGTCTCAGCTCCGGCACGAGCTGTCCATGAAGGATGAGCTCCTGCAGTTCTACACGAGCGCCGCCGAGGAGAGCGAGCCCGAGTCCGTGTGCTCCACCCCGTAAGTCTCTGCGGCTGGCAGTTGTCCAGGCCCCTGGACTTGCCTCAGCAGGGTCGCTGCACCGGCCGCGGAGGTCAGCCGCTCCCAGCCTTCCCTGGACCAAGCGCCTCCGTTGCCTCAGACAGATTGATTGTGCTATTTTAGCAGGACGTTGAGCCATTTTGAATGATCTGGCCTGGCCGTTGGCCTGGCGGGTAGAGGGTGATGCCGGGTTCTGGAGCTAGAGATGCCGTGGTGGGCCCCTGGGGCAGAAGATGTGTGGCCTTCTCTGGGAGTCAGCAGAGCCTCACGTCTGGAACGTGAACTCTGGAGTCCTGTGGCCCAAGTTCAGACCTTGGCTCTGTGGCTTACTAATTACGTGCTCTTGGCCACGTTACTTAGCCTCTCTGCTTGCTTCCGCATTTGTAAACTGGAGAGACTGACAGTACTTAGTTTATAGGGTTCTGAGCGTATGTAGAGCACTTAAAGCTGTTCTAGGCACATAGACGTGCATTACAAATATTAAATAGACTTCCAGACATTGGAATTGTGTAGGCTTTGAATAGCTGATCCTGCTGAAGTCATGAGGCAACTGCCAGTGGTAGACGGACGGTTGGGATGTGGGTCCTGAGGGGTGGCGAGCCTGTGTGCCGGCGGGTGCTGTCTTCCTGGGGGGTCACTGTCACACCTGTGTGTTTCATGATTGCTCATCGGAAGAGCCCTGCGGTTCCCCAGGTGCGGGGAACAAATGTCTCTCCCTAGAGTGAGCCTGCACCCTCTCCCCCAGGTTGAAGAGGAATGAGTCCTCCTCCTCTGTGCAGAACTACTTTCATCTGGATTCTCTTCAGAAGAAGCTGAAGGACCTCGAGGAAGAGAACGTCGTGCTCCGATCTGAGGTGAAGTGCGCACCCCTTCCCCCCGTTCCCTGCGGAGGGTGGTGGCCCCCTCCGTCTTGCCTGGCGGGACCGCCGTGGCTACAGTGCCATGTTCGGAGGCAACAGTCCATGGGAGAGCCATCCGTGCTCAGTGCCTAGCCGCACCAGTGTCCGCCAGGCGAGCTGCGTGTGTGCTGGGCATTGGCCCCTGGGGAGCACACGCCCGTCTGGGTGGGAGCCTCAGGGTGGGCCAGAGTGGTGAGCCCCGCTCCTGCATCGAGGGCAGGATGTCTCCGTGCGCCCTCCAGCTCCGGCAGGGAAGTAACGTGGGCCCAGTGTGACAGCCACGTTTCCAGGTTGCTGCAGGTCAGAGATGCTCCAAGGAAACGGCACATGAGAACTTGGAGACCTGTTTCCTAGACGATTAAAAAGGCAGAGCCAAGGCCACTTGGGAGCTCGTGCTTTTGAGTATTTCTGACTGGCTAGTCATTGTGCCAGACACTTCGCCCCTGTTCTTTTCTTCAAATTTCACAGCCGGGCTGGAAGCTGGTTACTTTGCTTCTCGTTTACAGTGAGAAAATCGGGACCCAGGCTGCTAAGTGTTTGATTTGCTAACATGGTGCACGGTAGTGAATGGCAAAGCCAGGATTTGCGAAGCTCTGTGACTCCAACTTCCCCCCCCCCCCCGCCGTAACTTCCCTTCACCCACTGCCCTTGCCTAGAAACACAGATGCATGCAAGTTTAGTACTTTTTGTCTTAATTCAGTGAGTTTATGCTCTCTAGCCAGAGGTGTGGTCAGTCAAGTTGGGGCTGCAAGCCCACCTGAGCTGGCCTGGGGGTCCCTGAAGCCCCTCCAGTAGGGCAGACCACCTTGAACTTGCCCACATGTTGGAAAGAGCCTCATGTCTTGGCCGAACAGGGCTATTCACGAGGAACGGGTGACGTTCTCTTGGACCTCACATCTTCTAGTCCTCGCTTGCTGGTGGGAAACATAAGCCCAGAGCAACCAGCTTTCTCTGCCAGCCGGTGGCTGAGCCAAGACGACGGCCCAGAGTTTTCCATTCCAGTGCCCGCCCCTACGTGCTCCGGTCCTGGGCACACAGTAATTCGGCCCTCTGTCAGAATGCTCAGCCAAAGCAAGAGGGAATCCGATCCCAGCTATAGGTTCCACCTCATTTCAGGAGTAGAGTGTCTCCTTGGGATCCGGCAGCTCAGAGGTACCTTCTTTCTACCTGGGATATTTTCTCTTTTCCCACCTTTTCTGCCTAGGGCAGGTTCTCCAGAGCTGGGACAGCTCTTGGGTCTCTGAACGTTGACGCTTTCATACTGTACCTTGTTTTTACTAAGCTGAATACAGTAGCTCCAGCTCCAACTCTGACCTCATAGGATGGTGCCTCACATAAAACAGGTGCATGACAAGTGTGAGCCATTCCTGTGGGCATCCTTAGAACGTCTGTGGTAGGCGGAGCTGAGTCCTAGACACCGTTGGGGTCACAAAGGGGTCTGTGTCTGCAGTCAGGGACAGACGCAAACGAATAGACATGGATTCAAGGGCGGCCCCTGCAGTGCATATTGCTTTGTGTGGCGCCCTCTGGTGGTACACCGTTTTCAGCTCTGCAGCTGCGCATTCTGATGGACTTTCTGGATTTGAGGGTGTTAATGGATGAAAGGTGGGGAGACGGTGAAAGGCAGCGTCCCAGACCCTTGCTCCGGGCCTCGGCCTTGCCCACCCCACCAGTCCAGATGTGAACGTGGGGCCTCTGACCCGAGCCTTGTCCGCAGGCCTGCCAGCTGAAGACGGAGACCATCACCTACGAAGAGAAGGAGCAGCAGCTAGTCAACGACTGTGTGAAGGAGCTGAGTATGTCCTGGCCCTCACGCTCCCCCACCCCCTCTTCTTACTCTGTGCATCTCCATCACTGTGACCGGACAGATTGGCATCACCCTTGAGAAAGCTCAATCTCCCTGCCAGCCTGGGCTTGGTAGCACTTTTCGTAAAACTAGAGGTGCCCCTCACTGTGATTCATGAGAAATTGGGTGCTAGGTTGTCAGCCAGACATTGTCTTAATTTCCCTCCTCATGGAGATGGATGTCTGATTTCACTATTGGCTTTCTACTGGAATACTGGAGTTAGGTGATGCCTAATTTAAGCCCAGTTACGGAGTTCCCGCATTAATGTGCAAAAACTTTCTCGTGACTGATGTGCACAAGTGGAGGCCACAGTTCTCCACGTTGCAGACAAGCCCTTCCCCCGCCCTCTCCACCGTAAGTTTGCATGTTAAGACAAAAGGGCAAACAGTTTGAGTTTCAGCAAAACACTCAATAGATGAAACACACCCTGTGTCCACGTTTAGTAAAATGAATTATGACTCTGACTGTGGGTTGAGAACACCCAAGGGTATTACACTGTGCAGGTAACAGTTCCTTCTAGAATGGGGGACTTCTAGAATGGGCTCCCCAGGAGCCACACCTGGGGACCGCCCAGGCTGAGCCGGGGCAGGGCAACGGGCACTGTTCCTTCCTTCCTCTGTGTTTTCTCCACTCTTCCCCCTGCCTTGTAACAAAGACGCTTTTTCTGGTGCTAGCCACAAAGAGACTGTTCTCTCTGGGTCTGACTTCCTCTGGGGCTTGTCATTTCGTGATTAAAGGGGACGCCAACGTGCAGATTGCCAGTATCTCAGAGGAGCTGGCCAAGAAGACCGAGGATGCTGCCCGCCAGCAAGAGGAGATCACACACCTGCTGTCGCAGATAGTTGACTTGCAGAAGAAGGCCAAAGCTGTAAGGCTTCCGTTTCTCTGGCTGGTGCAGACGGCATTCGCGCCTCAAGACTGCGCCCTTTAGTTTCATAGTTTAGGAGTTTGTGCTGTCCCTTTGGAGAAAAAGGCTTAGCAGATCCAATAGGAAAAAGTGGGTTGTCCAGAACTGGGGCGGGGGAGGGGGGATTGCATCATTACCACTAATCTTCTAAAAAGGATCTGAATATTAACAGAATGTGTTAAGAAAGGTGCTGTCGATAGGGAGTTTTGGACTTTAACGTTTGAATTTTCTAGTCTAGTATTTACTTGTTCTTACACAGTGCACCCCGTGTGTTCTGCAGCAGAACAATATCCCCTTTTGATTTAAGTTGGAGTTGAAGTTTAAGTTTCCCTGGTCAGACCCTTGCTAGAAGCAAGGTGAGGTGAAGTGCGTCTGGAGAGGGGCCTTAGCTGTGATTGGAGGGGGGGCCCTAGAGCATGACCAAGGGTGTGGGAAAGACTGCTTTCAAAATGTTACAGAAGGGAGACGAAATGTTCACCCCAGGACAAAAGTCTCCTTGTAGAAATGTGATAGGATTGTCACAGATCAGCTCATGAGAGGAAAATGGGGAGCTGCTTCCAAGTCTCTCGGGCAAGGGGGTGACTGGCCCTTCTATGTTGCAGTGTGCCGTGGAAAATGAAGAGCTGGTGCAGCATCTGGGGGCGGCCAAGGACGCCCAGCGGCAGCTCACGGCCGAGGTGAGCGGCTCTCCCTCCCTTCACCAGGCCCAGCCCAGTTCTCGGCCTCCCCCTCCCGGGCTGGGGGTCACCAGTATTCTGAGTCGAAAGTCATCCCAACTGGCCCGTTGGCGCTCACACCGTTACTGCCGTGAGCGCCCACCCCCGCTGCGTGTCTCCATAAGTGAGACGACATGTTGCTCCGCACATAAAGGAGCCTGTTCAGACGTGTGGCTAGAAACGAGGGTGTGGCGACCTGCTCTCCCACGCGTGCAAAGATACTATCTTAAAACCATTTTTAAATTTTTTTAAATTCTTCGGTTTTTCAAGTTTTTATGTGAGCATCATCGGCACACCCCGTTAGAGTCATTTCAGGAGTACAACACCGTGATGCGGCGTCTGCTCTCGGCGAGGTGTGGCCACTGTCACCGTACGGCGCTGCTGCAGTACCACTGACTGTGTCCCCTGTGCTGTGCCTTTCAGCCCCGTGACTCCACATTCCGTAACGGGAAGCCTGGGATCTCAGTTGCCCGGTGTTAGAATGCACGGGAGGTTTCTGAGCCCATCCGCACACCCCCGGGTGGAAGCCAGGCCGGGCCTTGAGGGCTCTCGGTGTCCAGCTTCGGGGCGGAGGGCAGCCGGCCCTGACCCTGCTCGCTTCTCACTGTCCCGCAGCTGCGTGAGCTGGAGGACAAGTATGCGGAGTGCATGGAGATGCTCCACGAGGCGCAGGAGGAGCTCAAGAACCTCCGGAACAAGACCGTGCCCAACACCACGTCCCGCCGCTACCACTCCCTGGGCCTGTTCCCCATGGTGAGCGCCCACGGGCTCCGTGGCCCCCCTCCAGCCCAGCGGGGCGCAGGGGTGCCCTTGGTGGGGAGGCGGTGTCGGTTGGCGGGGGGGTCTGGAGTGAGGTCCTTCTTTGCAGGAGGCTTCTCGTCCTACAGCTTGGCTCTAGATGCGAGTGAGGCTCCCTGACTACGTGAGGCTGATTCGGCCTTTCCCAGCCCTCTGACTCCGTCGTTTTTTCCTTCTCTTGTCCTAAACTGGTAAATTTCGTAGGAACCTCAGATGTTTGGAAGATGTTATTCATACATTATTATCTTCCTGATCTTGTTAGAGTATGAGCGATTTTGGCTTCACCGTGCATTCCAGAGTTCTTAAATTGCCCATTCAGTTCTGCTGGTTTTTTCTAGGCTTAAAAAAAATTTTTTTTTAATGTTTGTTTTATTTTTTGAGAGAGAGAGAGAGCGAGCGAGCATGAGTGGAAGAGGGGCAGAGAAGGAGACACAGAATCTGAAGCCGGCTCCAGGCTTTGAGCTGTCAGCACAGAGCCCGACGCGGGGCTCGAACCCACTAACCGTGAGATCATGACCTGAGCCGAAGTTGGACACTTAACTGACTGAGCCCCCCAGGCGTCCCTTGTTCTAGGCTTATTAATCATTCTCTTGGTGGTGTTTAGTATCTGTGATCTGAAAAAAGATCTCCTCCACTAGGAGCTGCATTTACATTTCTACAAAATGATTTCCCCATAGTTTTCTTTCTTAGCTCTGGCCTGATCTCTTTCATGTGTGGGCTTTGAGGAAACATGGTAGAGAAGCAGGTTTTCCGGGTTGGCCCCTCCCTGGTGGAGTTAGGCAGCACAGGGCAGGCCCCCTCTGCCGGGCATTTCCCTGCTCACCTTTGGTGAGCTTCCTCATTGTACCTCCTTCTGTCAGACGAAAGCCCCTTGGAGGTGGGGACCGTATCTTATTTGCTCCTTTCCTCCTTCGCTCTGTCAGATAGTCTGTTCTCTGCACTGTGCTTGGCGTGTTGTAGAAGTGTAGATGCTTAGCAGATACCGGGTTTGGACGGGTGGGTACATAGACTGAAGAACGAACTGACGAGAACTTTTATATTCAGGCCCTATTTCTGTGGTTTGACGAAATACTGTAGTCTCTTTGAGGAGAGAACTTTTGAGAGAAATACTCCGGAATGAGATAGGAGTAGATGGCAGCTTCAGTGTTTATGCGACTCGGTCCCTTCCGAATTTGGCCTTTCCTTGGGCTCTCTTCACACCCACTCCCCATTGCAGACTCCAGCCACCCCTGACCCCAGTTATCTGGCCCACGTTGCCTCAATCATGATCTCCTTTCCTTTTTGCTTATATATATATCAGAATTGGCTAGGACGATATCTCTCTCAGCTTGATTGAAATTTAATGAAACCAAAACAAAAGAAATGTAACACAGCTTTCCAGGGAGCAGATCCAGTATGTCCAAGAATCCCGGTCACGGGATTTAAGAACATCCTATGTCCCAGATTCCTTGACCTAAAGCTGATAACACTCAGCTCAAAGACTCCTAGGCGGCGATGTACATTCCCTGCCTCAGTTTCCCTCCTTCCTGGCTTCCCATCTTGGCTTGGTGACCTCCGGGGACATCGTATTTCCCATGCACTTAGGATTCGCTCCACGGCATTCCCTACCCACAGGGACAGACCTGTATTTTAAAACAAAGCTATGACATAGCAAGGTCCAATTAAAAATCTGTATTTGGGTTTCTTCAGCAGAGATTCTCAGCTGCTGTTTGCCTTCTTCCGTAGCTGTTGGCACAGCTCAGTTTTTTGAAGATGGCTATTTTTAACGTGCACTGTGTATTAAAGGTATTTAAGGCAAACTGAGTGGTGCCACGCCTGTGTTTCTGGAGCAGAACACCAGACCTGCCCCCCTCACTCCCAGCCTCTCTAACTGCTGATGGAACAGTGAGTAGCACTTTCTGCCCGAGTAGTACATTCCCACCTCCTGCCCTGGGATCCCCACACAGGACTCAGGGGCCCGTGAACTTGCGGGAAGGTCACATCTTTTATTTTCATTCACCCCTGATCGTTTCCTTCTCATACGAAGGTAGGCAGTAAACCTCAGCGATGAGCACCCTGTGGTGCTGTCATCAGTTGAAATCGTAGCTGCTATCATGGCACATTTCGGTTGTAAATGTCTCAAAATCCCGTTGGTGCTGAGCTCAGCTTCAGAAGCCAGATCCTGTGTGTTACTGTTTCACGCTCATCATTGGTAACATTCTAGTAACGAGTCCAGTACATCTGGCTTCCTTTTTGTCTTAATTGTTTTATTCACTTATAAATATTACTCTGAGAAGGGGTCCACCACTCTCCCAGACTGCTAGATGGGATCATGACCAAAGTCAACAGAGCCTCTTTGCGGATTCCTCCCTGCATGGCCTTCAAATTGGTAGTTTGGTATCTTATCTCTCCTAAGTTGTATGAAGACCTTTTCCTCATGCAGAGCTCTGAACGTAAGCTATGTGGTGAATTACAGCAAGAAGAAAACTAAACTGGGGGCCGCCTGGGTGGCTCAGTCAGTTGAACGTCCAACTTTGGCTCAGGTCATGATCTTGTGGTTCGTGAGTTCAAGCCCCATGTCAGGCTCTGTGCTGACAGCTCAGAGCTTGCAGCCTGCTTTGTATTTTGTGTCTCCCTCTCTCTCTGTCCCACCCCTGCTCATACTCTCTTTCTGTCTCTCAAAAATAAATAAACATTGGGAGAAAAAAAGTAAACTGGGGATCCTTGGGTGGTTCAGTTGGTTGAGAGTCAGACTCTTGAATTTGGCTCAGGTCATGATCTCAAGGTCATGACATCAAGTCCCGTGGTGTCAGGCTCCACCCCGAGCATGGGGCCTACTTGGGATTCTCTCTCTCTCCCTCTGTCCCTCCCCTGCATGTATGTTCTTTCTAAAATAAATAACAAGAATGAATGAATGAATGAATAGTAACCTGGCTTTAAAAAACGTCCTGTTCACCCAGGGAAACCTTTTACAACATGGGTTATGTTGAATGGCAACCTGTAGGTAATAATTACTAAATAAATTGTCCATTTACGAACAGGGATTGAAAACAAGCCCACTAACCCGTTGTTGAGCCAGCTTCTCCTGACCCCTGTCACATCTCCCTACTTGGTCCCAGCTTCCAGACGTCCCTGACTGTGGGGCTTGGAGAGGGACATCTTGGAGTCCCCCTGCTCTGTCTGCTGGGGAGCCATTGGCCACATGTGGCCATGCAAATTTAAATCCACTGAAATTAGCACAGTAAATTCAGGTTCTCAGTCACACTGACCGTGTTTCAAGTGCTCAATAGCCACCTGCGGCCGGTGGCGCCTGCAGTGGACAGTGCAGAAAGCACATTCCTACCATCGCAGGAAACCCGTCGGTTAGCACGGAGTTAGCCCTTCCCTTCAGGCTGTCCTGGGCGGTGTCCTCCTCCAGGGCGCCAGCAGGTGCTTTTCTGCACACAGCTGGTGCTCCGGCTGGCACCCGCCTGCGTCAGCGTGTGGGATTGCCTGTCAGGCTCTAGCTCATACGGTGAGGAGTGGTGGGTGGCTCAGGGAGGAGTTGGGTCCCATCCGGGAAGTGAGAAGTCATCCGTGCCAGGCCTTCCCCCGACCCACAAGGTTCATGACCTACCTGGAGAAAGATCTAGGTGGACTCACTGTTCAGGGACCTCGCAGGGGCTTCGTGTGTTTGGTGCTTTCTAGGGGGAGGAATGAAGGATTACTAGTGGAAACGAGGTGTGAGCTGGGTGTTAGAGGCAGGTGGGCAGGGGGCAGTGGTTGGTGGGGAGAAGAGATTTCCTTGCAGGGGCTATAGGGCCACAGGAGCAGAGGCTCAGATGACAGTGCTCACGACTCAGGTCCCCTCCTCCGTAAGTTCCTGCCTCTCCTTGTGGGCAGAGTCACAGCTCTGTACTTTGGCCCAGGGAACATGCGATTTGCTCTCAGAGCCTTAGCTGCACGGGAGCGCCGGGGCTTAATGCCCAGTGCTCCCCAAGAACTGCTCCGTCCAGGATCTGCCGTGGGGATTGCTCGGTCAGGGTTTTCAGCAGTGACGAATGCCGTCAGCCTGTGTCACAGGCTTCTGAGACTTGGGTTGACACTCCTATGGCTGGCAGCTGTGTACCTCTTAGAGACAGAGTGCTTGGATTGCTGTGTGCGCTCAGTGTGTTTTCTGCTTTTCTCAGGACTCTTTGGCGGCAGAGATCGAGGGAACGATGCGCAAGGAGCTGCAGTTGGAAGAGCCTGAGTCTCCAGACATTGCGTACGGCCGCGTTCTAAGCTTCCCAGAGACTGCCTCCCGCCTGTGGTCATCAAAACTAGCGACCTTCGGGCCTCAGACCACCACCAGTGATCACTGTGGTCCTTCCGCAGATTCTGATCCAGATTAAGGGAGATAAGGCAGTAGTAGCCCCCAGCTCTTCTTACTAAGTTTCAAAGAAAGATTATGAACTTCTAGAAAGTCGAGTAAGGAGAGAGGGGTTTCCTCTCTTTGTTAATACAGGCTCTGTCTTGTCACCACCGCTTGTTTTTATCTTTCCTTTCAGTGAAAAGCGGTACTTTAAACATTTTCCTTGTCTATTAGATCAGGAAGAATGGGATGCAGTAGCAAGGGCCCTTTAAGGGATGCAAAGGCTTCCGCTTCCTTTCTGGATACGTGTAGGGATATCGGCAGCTACCAGCTCTCTTCCTAACGTGAGCTCTTGTGCTAGGTCTGCCCTGAGGTGTTTCTAAGGAACCTGTGGATCCGATTTCACTGTGTATTTTCTGTACCTGAAGCCCACAGCCAGAACTGAAATGGGGCCTGGGAGTGACCACAGTCCCTTAGCCTCGGTGCATGTGTGGGGCCCTCTGCATCCCAGAGGGAAGTGGCCCTTATAGCAACATGCCTACCCTTGTCTCCTTAAAAAGAAACGGTTCCACTCTTAGAAATAGCAGTTGCTAAAAAAATATTAGTCTGGTGTTTATCATCTCCTTCTAGAAGTTGAAGACTTACTTTGTCTTTTTTTTAAATAAATATGAATGGCCAACACATACTCATTCTACAGATATTTCTGGAGCCCTGTTATGTCCCGAGCTGTGAACACTGCTCTCTTGGACTTTACATTCTAGTGACCATCTTGAAAGAGGAAAAGTATCTTGGAGACAGAAGGCCTCCTTAAGTATTTATATTTGTGGGTTGAGCCTAAGGGAGAAAAAAGCAGCAGCATCTTGCTATCATCACCTTTAGGTCACAACCATGTATTAGAGCCCTGAATCCAGGGGGCACCGAGTCTCTCGAGTCCAGCCAGCACCCTAAGACACACTGAAGGCCCAGGATGGCACATTGCTTGGGGGCTCATGGGGGCCGGCTGCCTTGTGGCTCCTCAGATGGTAGTTTGGGGAAGGTTGGACCCCACAGTCATTCCTGCATTTGTTTATTGATGAATCATGCTGTGCATTCCCCCCAGTCACCAGAAGCGAGTCTTCGAGACGGTGAGAAACATCAACCAGGTCGTCAAGCAGAGGTCTCTGACCCCGTCCCCCATGAACATCCCCGGCTCCAACCAGTCCTCAGCCATGAACTCCCTCCTGTCCAGCTGCGTCAGCACCCCGCGGTCTAGCTTCTACGGCAGCGACATTGGCAACGTGGTCCTGGATAACAAGACAAACAGCATCATCCTGGAAGCAGAGTCTGCCGACCTGGGGTGAGCCAGCCCGGAGGTTTTATCCGGCCGTTCGGGGGAGAGGCAGTGTGTTTGGGTGGAAGTTCAGTCATCAGAAGAGGCAGGCTGATAAAGAGTCGGCTGAAAAGTCTGGGCCTTTCAGTGTTTTCATCTGGTTTAACAACGCTCTGCGTTTATGCTCATTCTTGATTCTGGGATTTGCAACCAGCTGTACCACAGGAAGTCTGCTTCTCTGTCACATGCTGAAGGGGAGGGTAAACGAGTAACTTTTTCTGTTAATCTTCACTGTTGAGCTGCAGAACAGACATTTGTTTCATGAGCCCTTTGGTAGCTTGGATGTTTGAAAGGTAGAGGAGGACTCAGGTTCTGAGTCCTGGCCAGAATCTAGTTTGCTTTGGAAGGTGGGGTGCTGGGCACCCTCCAGGGTGCCTGCCACACACCTCACGTCTCTGGGGTGGGGCTTCCTCAGCAGTGGGCAGTCCTTTGTCCTACGGCTCTGCAGACTCATGCCTGCACACACACGCATGCGTACACACACACACCAGACCAGCTGTGGTGTGCACCCTTTTTATGGGATAATAAAATTGGTTCTTCCAATGGGTTGTGTCAGAGGGGAAACTGCTTAATATTAATTCAAGAGGGCAGAGAAATGCCCCTTAAGAAAGGGGCGCCTGGGAGGCTCGGTTAAGCATCCGACTTCAGCTCAGGTCATGATCTCAACAGTTCGTGGGTTCGAGCTCCGCGTGGGGCTCTGTGCTGACAGCTCAGAGCCTGGAGCCTGTTTCAGATTCTGTATCTCCCTCTCTCTCTGACCCTCCCCTGCTCACGCTGTCTCTCTCTCAGAAAAAAAAAAAAAATTTTTTTTTAATTAAAAAAAGAGTGCCTTTTGAACCAGTGGCCCTTCTGGTAACTAGGACTTCCTGCCTGAAGAAGGCTTCCTCCTTAAGGGCTCATGAGGGAGATGTTTATAGCAACGGAATTTTTTTATGTAGCACGTGCACACTTTCATTACATCGTAGTGCTCTCCGTGTACCTCCCAAAACACCCACCAGAGGAAGTTAGTTCTTCCCGGCAGTCATTTAGGTCCTGCTTTTTGCCTGAGTTTCAGCCGCGTGCCTTGTCAGCTTCCCTGTCCATCCTGCGGCCACTCCGACCTGTGCGCCCCTGTGCACCCGGCAGTCGGGCCACCCTTGCAGCCTGCACCCTGCACCGCGCCCGCTGCGGGCGCCCCGCGCTCAGCCCCACCTCCCTCCTTTTGCAGGAACGGCGAGCGCAGCAAGAAGCCCGGGACGCCGGGCACGCCCGGCTCCCACGACCTGGAGACGGCGCTGCGGCGGCTGTCCCTCCGCCGGGAGAACTACCTCTCCGAGCGCAGGTTCTTCGAGGAGGAGCAGGAGCGGAAGCTGCGGGAGCTGGCGGAGAGGGGCGAGCTGCTCAGCGGCTCCCTGACGCCCACGGAGAGCATCATGTCCCTCGGCACCCACTCCCGCCTCTCCGAGTTCACCGGCTTCTCCGGCATGTCCTTCAGCAGCCGCTCCTACCTGCCCGAGAAGCTGCAGATCGTGAAGCCGCTGGAAGGTGATCCCCGCGGGCCTCGGCCCCTCTCCACCCTCCTCGGCGACCGCCTGTGGTCCCTGATCCACCACCGGCAGGCGGGCAGCCTCTGTAACACCTACTCCTTCTTCTTCCGAGACAGCCTCCCGCGCTGCTGGTTTGAGTTCCTCTGACCCGGCGCCCCGCGCGCGCCCGGTGGGGGCAGGTGCGGGAGCGCGCGCGCCTGCAGGCCCGGCTGACCTTGGCCGCTGAGGCCAAGGACAGGGAACAGCGTTTCCTCCACGCTGGTTTCCGAGTCCTCACGCCTTTGCAATTAGAACCTTAGAAGGAAACCTCTTTGGGGAGGCCGAGGCCCTGCTAAGGTCCTGGAAAGTTATTCCGGTCTCGCTTGGGGTCCGAGAAGCATGCGTAATGAATGCTTTGGCCGCTCCGAAACGCTGGCTTCAGGCAGGCGCAGAGCAGCGCAGGAAGTAGTTTTTTCCAGTAACCACGCGAAAGCGATTTGCAGTTTGTGGGCTCACACGGTTTGCTCCGATCTTCAAGTGAAGAGGGTGTGCGCCTGCACCTCCAGAACTGGAGAGGGGGCATGGGGGCCAGTGAGTTCATGCCTCCTTAAGCCTGCCTTTCCTGGGGGTGATTTACTTTTCAGTTCCAGGGACACCCCAGATGATTAAACTGGCAGATTTCACCTTTTTTCTTTCTTTGTTCTCTGGATATTATAAAATGCCCTACCTTTGCTTATCAGCACCCGGGCAAGAGCCACCAAGTGTTGGTATTTTTCAGTTTTGACTCCTTTGGTTTGGAAGCCCGTGTGAGTCTGAGGTTTAAGAGGGCATGTTAGAGGGAATTTCTGTATTACTTTTCTGATACAAAGCCTGATCAGAATCTGGGTGAGGCTGTGCTTATCACTTTAGACCGATATGCTTAAGGAGTCATTTTAGAAATGTATTCTTGATTGCCACCCCCACGTTTAATACCACAGATATACTGTTGATATCCTATATGTATATCTTTGCTTTCGGCCTAAAAAGATTAGGATTGTTTTCACCCCATAAGAACCCATTTCTGACCCGTTGCAGGCAGAACCCCCCCCCTGTTGAGAATGTGTGCTGTAAAATGAGGGTGTGCTTGTTAAAGACATAAGACTTAAACTGGGTCCTCTAGTTTCCAAAGGAAGGAAGAGGGTGGGCTGGTGTTCTTTCTTCGTATTTTTTAATTGTATAATTTAGGCCCTTATTAGATTTCAGAAAAGGGATGGCTCATTTTTTTTAATTGTTTATTCAGTTGTGAGCTTGGTGATTGTTTCCTGATCCGTAATTATGTCTGTTTTTCTTTCAATAAAATCTTCCATTTCTGCAATTTTACTTTCTGCCTTTCTTTTTTTTTTTTTCTCCTTTGTCTCTTAAAGCTCATTGGAATTATCATCTCTGTTTTGTCTGATTTCTGTATTTGACTTTGTATTTCATCAGATCATCTAAGAATATGTCTTTGGATTCATTTTCCAAGCATATTTCAGAAAGAGATTATTAAAATTTTATTTCAACCAATTCATCTTTTTTTTCTTTCTTTCTTTTAATCTTATGACTTAGTATTTTTGTGTCAGTAGAATAAGAGGAAATCCCATTCGATTTGCTGGGTGAGTTTCGCGGATAGTACTACCCTGCTCACCAGGAAGCTAACTCACCACCATTAAGAAGTCATATCTTAATCACGTGGACTGTGATGCATTCCCATGCTAGAAGATCCCTGTCCTCTACTTAGTAGTTCTCTGACTTCTTAGCTGTTTCAGATACAACCAGTATTTCCTTTCTTCCTTCCCTCCACAATTATTTTTTGGGTTTCTGTGTTTAATACGAGAGGGTGGAGTGCCGACACAGAAGTCTGCCTGACACTGCGTTCAGCTCATCTCTGGGCATTAGACAAATTACCTCTTTGAGCCCTGTTTCCCTTATTTGTGAAATAAGGCTTCCGTCTGCCACACAGAAGCGTGGTGAGGGGCACATGTGATGTGTTATGTATTATGCCTGGCACCTAATAGGTGCTAATTGAAACTTAGGTTCCCCACACACTTGTCCCTGTTAGAGCAGCTCAGGTCTAGAGGGTGGTCTTACCAGTGCTGAGAACGGGGACCAGCGTTGTGCTGGGGCTGTGTTCTTACATCCTCCGTTTCCACTGGCCTGCTCAGAAGCTGATAGGACTCTGATCTTCAGTGGCCCAGGTAAACGTACCTGGGTGAGGCCTCTGGAGATTGGCTGGGATCATAGCAGATAACCAATCTGTGTCTTCCATCTGTGTCTCCCTTACCTTCATCTTGCTATCTGCTCATTGGTGCCAGCCAGAATAGCCGGACTTGGTGTTTAAGGTCAGCACTCTTGTCTCTTCATCTTACATTAGGTGTTTTAAGCGGGTGAAGACCAAACAAAACTTTTCAGACGAGAAGAGAGAGCCCTGTATTAAAAAGCTGAGTCGGGCAGTAATTTTCCCCCCTCTTCCTTTGTGATTAATTAAAACCAAGATGGTATTTCCCCCAAAACAAGGTAGTATGTAATTAGGGGACAGCATGTACTTCTCAGCTAAGCTATACATTATCCAACAGGTTCCCCCAGCTACTCCTCTGACATAAATGGATTTGGTTTTCTTCTCCTTTGATGATACAAAAACTTGTAGCCAGAATGGTGGGATGTGGAGGAAAAGCAAACAGAAAGGTGTGGTGACCGTAATTGTTTCCCTGCTGTGCATGCCCTCGTTTCATAGAGCTTCGTCTTGGTGCCAACTAGGAACACGGAAGTTCCTCTTTCCCTGCCCCCAGCCCTGTTCTCATGTGTTTGGGGGTGGGGGGTGGTAATGGCAGGTAGCTAATAGGGCGGTGATTCTTCTTCTGCTTTGTGCTTGACAAATTAAGGAAGCCAGGCTGGGGCGTGGAGGACAGGGATGAGGCAGCTGAGGTTCTAAATAAGATGCGGTTCCTACTTAATTTTTTTTAATGTTTATTTTGCTTTTGTGAGAGACAGAGCGTGAGCAGGGGAGGGGCAGAGAGAGAGGGAGACACAGAATCAGAAGCAGGCTGCAGGCTCTCTGCTGACAGCTCAGACAGAGCTGACGTGGGGCTCGAACTCACAAACTGTGTGATCATGGCCTGAGCCGAAGTCGGATGCTCAACCGACTGAGCCACCCAGGCGCCCCACCTATTTAATTTTTAATTTGGCAGCCATATCCGGCAGGACTTCAGGCAGCCAGGAGAGTGGTAAGAATTCCTACATGGTGGTCCCAGTCAGTGGCCAGGGAAGTGAGGAAGTGGGCTGTTTTGCCCAGGTGTCGGACTCAGGAAACCTTCCTGGGGCCTCCGCACCAGTCAGGAATGGAAATGGTCTGTGAGCCCCACAGCCTGATGTAACTCAGATAACAGGGTTGTGAAGGCCTTTGCTAATGGTCACTTTCGCAGGACAGAAGACACCCGTGTGAGGATTGAAAAAGCCAGGGAGGTGTGTGATTGATCTGATTTCTGAGAACTCACTCACGGGAGGCGTCCTCACTGCTGGCCGAGAGACAGTATATGTCGTTTAAGACAAGGGACCCTGGAGCCAGCATGGGTTTGAATCCCAGATTAGCCACTTACCCGTTTTTCAGCCTCTGGCAAGTTACCTGACCTTCCTGAGCTCAGCTATAAAATGAGGGCGACAGGATTATCATGGTGATGAAGTGAGTTAATAAATGTAGACCTCGTAAGAGTGCCTGGCACTTAGTAAATGCTCCGTAAAGGTTGGCTCTTCCTAGGTGAGTCAGAGATGCATGAGACAGGGGTAGAAATCCAAGAAGGATGCATTTTTCAGCATAATCTTTCCATTGCAGTCTCACTAAATTCCCTCGGCTCTGCCTACTCAAGAAATGCAGATAACCCCATGTCCAAGTGCCACCTCTTGAACTCCAAACAGCAAACCCTTTGTAGCCTCCTTTCTCTCTCGAGCCCATGGCTGGGGTGGGAAGAGATGAACCGATAATAGTGGAACAGATAACTCTGTTGACTGGGACAGTTGTCCAGACCCAGACCCCTGGCTCCCTGAGTTCCTTCCTAGCTCGTTGTAAACACCTCAGCCCCTTTCAGAAGGATGAGGACCTTTAGCACTTCTTGACATGGCCCTTCACTTGCCAGTATCAGTCAGCTGTCTTCCGCTTCCAAAAATAGAGGTGACGTGGCCACTCTGTACCTAAGGATTGGCCATCGTGCTGCAAGACCAGCCTGTGCTGTCCCAAGCTGGAAGCTATAGGTCTTGTTAAGGCCTCTCCCCGGTGCTCTGGTTTTCCAGGATTCTGCCTGTGTGTCCAGTGAGTGCACAAACAAGGGGCTCAGTAGGTATTATGAATGTGGGTCTCCAGGGGTGGCTCGCGAAATTGTCAGCAGCTGTGTGTGTGTCTTTTGGCGGTGGCCTCGGACAGCCACCTAGAAGTTTTACCGCCCACCACTTACGCTTCTCACTTAGTCTGGTTTTCTGGCTGCAGCACTGATGTCCTTGTTTATACACCCGTGGACTTTGGGAGGCAGGCAGTGTGAGACTGAAAGAACCTGGCTTTTAGCACTGACCTCTGGCTGTGCCACCACTCAGGGACTTTGAAAAATTATCCACCTTCAGTGAACCTCAGTTCCCTCATCGGAGGGGGATTGGAACAGTGAGTTGATGTAATACACAGTCAAAGAAGCTGCTGTACAGACATGCTCAGTACAGGGTAGCTTAAAAAAAAAAAAGAGGCTGTAGCATCTAGGATTTGGTATCCCACAAGTGGGTTTCAGCTCATCTACACAGCCCTTGCCGGTTACACACACTGGCACTTGCACGTGAGCTCCCTTTGAGGGTAGAGTCCATGAGCGCCGCTTGCAAAGGGTCTGAGAATAGAGACCACAGTTCTGGGCCAGGGTTTCTCAGTCTCTGCCCTGCTGACATCTGGGGCTGGGTCATTGTGTATTGTGAGGGCTGTCCTGGGCATTGGAGGCTGTCACATCCCTGGCTCTACTTGTAAGATGCCCTTAGCACTCTAGCTGTCCCCACAGTGGTGACAGAAATGTCTCCAGATGTTACCAGCTGCCCCTCGTTGAGAACCACTGCTCTGGACATCTCTTAGCACCTAGTGAGAGAGCAGGGGTGTGGTGCTCTTTCATCATACGAGCCTCTGTATTATCTCCCTTTGCACTGAGGATATTTTCTATGTAGATGCAGTAGATTCAGGGTAAGTAGGTTGCCTTTAAAACTGGGGCAGACCTCAAAGTGGGTGACTAGGGACTGTCCTAAACATGTATTAGCAGCATGTCCGATGTTCCTCCTTTAAGTGAATTTGAAACTGCCCACTTACAGAATCCTTTCCAGACTCACTGGCCGAGATCGCTTCCCAAGGAGTTCCTTCCCAGCAGCATGTTGGAGGCAGCACACTCACTGGGCACCCCGCAGGGTCTGGAGCTCCCCCGCTGAGGGGGGTTCCCCACCTAACAGTTCACATTCCGGGACTGACCCCTGACCCCAGTGTCTGCCGCCGTTTTCCTTGTCTTTCCTCCTGACTCCTGAGCTGCTGGCCCCTCACTGATTCATCCGTAGAATGGGGATAGACACCCAGCCTCACGGCCCGTGCGAGGTGTAATCAATGTTCCAGAGGGGAAAAGGGTTGCTTTTCAAAAGGCCAGTGGATGGGGCAGAATCCCAGGACATAGCCACACGCCAAGGCTTCTGAGATGTTCCTCAGTAAATCTACTTCTCAACCCAGGTCGGCCAAGCACCCTTGTTCTTGGAACGCTTTGCTTCATGAGCACCCATGACAGCCTCGAAGTGCTCAGGGACACGGTCCGATGTTATTACAGACCTAGCACGATGTCATCTGAGTCCCGGGGTCTGGTGTCACCGAGGAGATCTGCTCCTCTGCCTCAGACCTCTGTGTGGACTTGCGTGCTCCTCACCCACGCCTGGTTCACACCTTTCCCTCTCCCAGACCCGCAGCTTGCCAGTGTTGCTGGCAGGAAACAGAAGCCCCAATAAGTAAAGGAGGCGACGGTCGTGCCCACGCCGATCTCCGTGTGCTACTCTAATCGCCTTTTGCTTCTCTTGTGTCGTGGGTCCTGGGGTGACCTGGTCTTACTCCACCTCTGCTTCTGTCCCCCCTGTTCCCCGCGGTGTGTACTTGGCGTAGAATCGGTACTCATACCCGCACCCCCTTTGTTCTTGGTCTTGCTTATTTTTTTCCCTCCTCTCTTGCTCCTACGTTGATACAGTGTTGGATTTGGGGATTGACAGTCGGTTGACCAAAACAGTGTGTCACCAGACATCCTTGCCACGCCGTGTGGCTTTCATTTTACTTTGTAAAAAGCTCCGTTTCTGATCCCTTCCATTGGTGCCCCTCCTAGGCGTGGCAGGGTGACTGCCCGTCACGCGGTAGCCAGGGCCAGGGCCAGTCCGCCGGTGTCCCTGCCAGAGTTCGCCCACGGGGCTCTGGGCCTGCCCCGGGTCACGCTCTGCACTCTGAGGGTGGTGACAGCCGCCAGCTTGGACTTCCATCCTAACCCTGTCTTCTCCCTGTGCCCCCTTCTCTGCTCTTTCTCCCACAAGGCTCTGCCACCCTTCACCACTGGCAGCAGTTGGCCCAGCCCCACCTCGGGGGCATCCTGGACCCCCGGCCCGGTGTGGTCACCAAGGGCTTCCGGACACTGGACGTTGACCTGGATGAAGTGTACTGCCTTAACGACTTTGAAGAAGACGACACAGGTGACCACCTTTCCCTCCCGGGCCTAGCTACCTCCACGCCAGTGCAGCACCCAGAGACCTCAGGTGAGGGGTCCCGAGCACGCGTGACTGTCTCAGGCAGCAGAAGTTACCCACGCCGGCCTCAGGCCTTCCCAGAGGAGATGCAGGAGCCGCCAGCGGCCGAGGAGGAGGAGGAGGAGGAGGAGGAGGGGTCTGGTGAGGGCACCGCCATAAGTCCTATAAACCTGGCACCTTTACCGGAGGCCGAGTTCTGGGCCATTCTCACCTCTGTTCCGAGCACCATCCGTAGCGGCTCTCTGTCTGTAGCTTCCGCTCGTCTGTGTGGGTGACAATTAAAGCCTTTCCATCGTGCGGTTCTGTTTTTTAACGCAGAGTCTGATGCCTCCTTTCTGTAACAAGTGGGTGTGGCTCCCCGCCCGTGTTGGAGGTGCATGGCCCAAGGGGGCTCCGGATGGGGGAGCAGGAAAGGCTGCTAAAAAGAAGTGGATTGCTGCCCTCCCCCGCCCCCGCCCCACACACCAGCTCCCCCCTTCCTGTTGGGGGTCTCTCCCCGAGTCTGGGAGGCTGGCGGGGGGGGGGGGCGGTGGAGAGCAGATTCTCAAGTCCTGTGGTGATTTCCAAACTGAGCTGAGCACAGTTGGGCATTTTAAGGAGGGAATTAGGAGCGCGGGGTCACTCCCATGGTGAAGGAGAGAATCTGTCCCCACGCAGAGCATCAGAATAGGAAAAAGCCCAGAAGGTATTCAGGATTTCAGACAACATGTGGATAGATCAGCCTTTTTACATTTCTGACTTCGATAAAGGTACATGCATTTTCTTTCCAGCTCACACATGTATTCAGAGCAGATTTTTAAAAACATTTTTTTTAATGTTTTATTTATTCTGAGAGAGACTGCGTGAGCAGGGGAGGTTCAGAGAGAGAGGGAAATACAGAATCTGAAGCAGGCTCCAGGCTCTGAGCTAGCTGTCAGCACAGAGCCCGATGTGGGGCTCGAACCAGTGAACTGTGAGATCATGACCTGAGCTGAAGTCAGACGTTTACCAGACTGAACCACCCAGGTGTCCCTGTTCAGAGCAGATTTTTAAAAATGTTTTTAGCAGTCCTCCTTAACCCAACAAACCCTAGGACGATGACATCTAGAGGGGTCCCAGGTTGGAAGCATTTCCAGAGAGAGGATCCCAGAAGAATCTGGAAAAGAGCTCTGGTTGATTACCCACCCCCTGCTGCTTCCCCATGAAAGATGTGACCATGAGTTTGCACATTTACACCCCAGGCATCACTGGGATGAAACGCTTTGGGCTCAGGGCCCTGGGACTGCAGGGATCATGTGGTCACCAATTGCCCCAGGTTTCCTGGCACTCTGGGCTGCAGTGCTGGGAAGACCAGGAAGGTGTCCTTGTGGGGTCAGGGCAGAGACCCAGGAAAAGATGAATTCAACCGATGTCGTCATCCTCATGACATCCCAAGTCATTAGGTCTGAGGAGAGGACACGCATCTTGGTGACATATCTTTCGTTCATGAAGGCCACCCTCTCCCTGTGAAGTACAGGGCAGGAGAGAACTGAGGTTTGCAATGGCGCCTCCCAGGCTAAGGTCAGATGCCTGTGGCAAGGGAATTTATTTGGACCCAACTCTCCTCTTTTCTTTGACATCAACTTCAGAGGTATCACCAAGTAGGAAGGATTGGTTTAGCCCATAGGTTTATGGTTTGTTGATTTATTTTTGAGCAGTTACCTGGTCAAGTTTGCAAGGGAACAAAGATGTTTATTACCAAATATCTTCACACTTAAGAATGGGAGACCAGCTGTGGTATCGTGACTTACATTTGTTAGCACCCTGTCCTTCCGGAAGGCAGACAGCAATACAGGAAACCGTATCTGCTGATTTTTGGGACTGAAGCTGTAGGGATCATGTCAACTGTGGTGACCTCTCCCTTCAGTCCTATGTGGACTAGAAGGTGAATGCTAGAAGTCTAAAGAAGCACCATTGAGTGCGTCTTCAAGAAGTTACACCGAAGGAAGAAAACTTAACCAAGTCATCTAAGAACTTCTCTTGGAGGTCAGAGGGAGAGAGGGGACCAATTATGAGGACATAAGTCCTGACCACTTTCCTTACCCTAAACAATGACCTATTTATTGCTTCCTCCCTCCTTCCTCGCACCTGCAGCAAATTCATCCCAGCAACTTTGAGGAGAGGCACACAAATGACATTTAGAGGGATCCCATGTTGGAAGCATGCATTCAAAACGAATTCTACAGGTTGCTGAAGGTAGCTTAGGAAAGGGCTGATCATTTAGACAAGAATTCTTTGGGGCTCATTTGCTGGGTCAGAGGTGTTAAAAGCTCAGTGCTCAAAGGGGATCCGTACAAATGGGCTCTTTTCTCTCTATTGGGAGTAACGGGACCGTTTTGATTACTGGAATGTAAGAAGCATGTCACTCTAAATAAATCACCCCAGAGGCCTCAAGTGGCACTATGTGCAGTCTTGGGGTCACAGGTTAGTAGATAAGCTTCAGCAGGAAGGACTCGGGCATAGTCCGTCTTGGGGGTTGTATCCCGGCTGGTCTGGTCCCTGCCTTGGTCTGTCCCTGATGCATAGGGTTTCTCTTGTTTTTTAAGTTTATTTATTTATTTTGAGAGAGACAGAAACAGCACAAATGGGGGAGTGGCAGAGAGAGACAGAGGAAGGGAGAAAACCCCAAGCAGGCTCTGTGCTGCCAGCATAAAGCCCGATGCGGGGCTTGAACTCACAAAACTGTAAGAACATGACCTGAGATGAAACCAAGTGTCAGACACTTAACCGACTGAGCCCCCAGCTGCTCTAATGCTTAGGCTTTTCTGTTGTCGGATGCCACCATCCCAGGAGTCTTCCCATCTGGGAATACTTAGTAGGGAGAAACTTTGAAGATGGAAGGTTTAGCCTTTTTTTCTTGCAACTATTCCTAAGGAAGGAAACTGGGGAGACTCGTATGTTAGGCACTTTATCTAGAACCTGTTAGCTCATGAGGAAAAGTTTTGAGTACTGAAAAAAAAATTAATATATTTTAATGTATTATTGTATCATTATTGGGTGATTTTTATAATCCTATGTCTTATAAAATGTGATTCCTTGTTACTTGTAAATAATTTAGATGATTAAAGTGGATTGTTTAAAACAATTTTTAGATTATAGTTTTACTCTTCCAGGGACACTTTATGTATTAATTTCAATAGAAAGCACACTTTCTCAGAAACAGTCATTATCCTGTGCTGTCCGTGTTCTGGAATTTTGCTATTTATTTGTAGGGAAGAGCTGGGCACATGGGAAACAATTAAGATCAGAGTTTTAGTGTTGTATTTTTGTGTTGTTTTTTTTAATTTATTTCTGAGAGAGCATGAGCAGGGGATTGTCAGAAAGAGAGGGAGACACAGAATCTAAAACAGGTTCCAGGCTCTGAGCTGTCAGCACAGAGCCCGACGCAGGGCTTGAACCCACGAACCGTGAGATCATGACCTGAGCCGAAGTTAGATGCTCAGCTGACCGAGCCACCCAGGCACCCCTAAGATCAGAGTTTTAAAGTCACGCAGTTAAGTCGGTAGATGGTTGGACTACTGAGTTGAATTGTTTTGGATGCCGTGAGCCTTAGAGAGGAGCACAAAGTAGAATGAAAGCAACACAGAAGAAAGGGAAGGCCGTTTCTTTTCATGCTCATACACAGGAAGGCCACTCAGGTCGGGGAAGGAAGCTCCCTAGAGCAGGCTCATACCAATCCCGGCGGCCTGTCTGGCTGCAGCCCCTCAGTGGAGTTGGGGCTGAGGTGCCAAAGTAAGCATTGAAGGCAAAAATCACCTTTGGTCAGAGCAGCCCTTGAAAATACCCTGAAGCTGCACCGCGTGGACCCCCTCCCCGACCCCAGCACCCCAGGCCGAGGCCAGGAATCACTCGACACATACATCGGGGTTCTGTGGAGGAAAGGAGCCAGAAGGAAAGTGGGGTGGCCGAGTATGGCTTCAGCGCGTGTCGTGTGGGGGACTGGAGCAGGTGCGAACAAAGGCCCACAGTCGTGGGCCGTGGGGGCCTGATGGGTCTGGAAGGAAAGCCCGGGTCTTTCGATTCACAGACCTTCGGGTGTAGGAAAGTTCCTTTGTGTCTCCACAGAGAGAGTTGACACCCATGCCCGCTCTCCATGGGAAGACTTTCCAACCCCACCTTCATTCTGGAGTGGTTGCAGGTTACAGGTCCCTGTGGACAGAGCGACGGTCCCCTCCGACCCGGCGGCGTGAGACGATGCTAAGGAAGCCCCTGTGCTCTAGCCTCAGGATACCTATTAAACCAGAACAAAACAGGCCAGTTACCAGGAGGGGGAGAAAGGAATGAAGAGTGAGGTCCTTGACTCCTCCCCAAACCAACAGCTGCAGTCAACCCTGCTTACGATTTCCTGAACGAGCCTGCCCTTTGGGAGTGATCCCCACCTCTGAAAACCATAGGAGAGGCCTCCTGTGCTGGGGGGTGGGGGGGAGCACCCACGTGGCCTGCTGAGGAGAGGGCGCCGGGAGCTGGCTCTTCTCGGTGGAGGAGCTCTGGGGTGGGGGGTCGACTGTGGGGCGCGCTGACCCGCTGCACCACCTACTGGTGGGAGCGGGAAGTGCGCTCCTGGACTTGCTTGGAAGGCACTTAGCTGGTCGGGTCTTGGTGCAGCTTAGCCAGGCAGGCTGCCCACGCCTGCGGGGCTGCCCACGCCTGCGGGCATCGCCGTAGAAGGAAGGACAAGAAGACAAGGTATAGGACCCAGCTTACTTGGCACCCGAAGGATCCAAAGAGACTTTTGCATTTTGCCCCTTTGACATTTTAACCGCAATTCTTTAAGGAAAAAAATCTTTTTTTTTTTTTCTCCAGAAGATATTTTAAGGGCCACCTGTGGGAATTTCTGCCCGTTTGCCTGAAATGCTGTGCGACTGTTCATCTGTTAAATCGCATACTCCTTAGATGAGACGGGGAATAGACAGCCTGGCGCAATGGGAAAAGTGGACTTTTAGTTATTTTAATTTTGCAGGAACCAAAAATAAGTTGTACAGAAACCAGCAAAAGATCTTGTGTGGCTTAAAAACCTCAGTGACAGAAACGTCCCGGTGGCTGCAGGCCAGGGGCTGCGGCAGGGGCTCGGGGAGGGGGGGGTCTCTGTTGAGCTGCAGGGACAGACACGGGCTATGTTGAAGAACTGCTCAAGAGGCAGCGTTAGGGGGCCCATGCTAAGCCTGGAACTAAGAGTTTAGAAAATACCACCTTGTAACCCTGTTTGGCTTCAAATCAGTTTTACCTTATTTTTTAAAAAAATTTTTAATGTTTTTTTTTTATTTATTTCTAGGAGAGAGAGAGAGACAGCGTGAGCAGGGGAGGGTCAGAGAGAGAGGGAGTCACAGACTCTGAAACAGGCTCCAGGCTCTGAGCTGGCAGTCAGCACAGAGCCCGACGCGGGGCTCGAACCCACGAACCGCGAGATCATGACCTAAGCGAAAGTCGGACGCTTAAACGACTAAGCCACCCAAGTGCCCCACTTTTATCTTATTTTTTAAAAAAGGGAGAGAATGCACTGCTGTATCAGAAACTGTTGTTGATCCCCCACCCTCCAGAGGAAGACACTTGTTAGAGCCATGTGAACCCCAGATGCGTACTTACATTAATGATGAAACAGAGGGCTCACAAAAGCTTTATAGAGCTTTTCCCACAGGAGCTCATCATTAAACTTTTTTTTTTCCCAGAAAAATTCATGGGCAGAGTTATATAAAGAAGTGTTGGAAAAAAGTCTCTAAAGCATTTTCCTATGTCCTGCCATTTTAGTTTTTTAGGAAGAATTCGAAAGCATTACTTTTTGCCCTTTTTTTTTTTAATGGGCAAGTTGTGGCAGGCAAATACGTGTCCCCCTCCCTCCCCTCCCCTCAAATGGGATTACTCCTTGAACAAAAAGTAACAAAGTCATTAGAAGCTAGTAAAAAGGTGAAAACAAAACAAAAACCAAGAAAATGTACTGATGCTCTTAGGATTTAGTTCAAGCCATGCCTTTAAGCTGGATGGACAGTGGTTTCTATTTTCTGTGGGTTTGGTTTCACTTGGGTAGAAAAGGGTGGCCTGTGGGCACCACTGGGGACGCGATGGCAGGTGAGAGAGAACATGGGGGTGTGCGGTGGTTAATGAGTTTATAGAAATCGCAAAGCAGATCCGTGACAGCAGCTGCACACCATGTGTTCAAGTTAAGAAAAGGAAAACACCAGAGGCATTTTGTTCATTTTACATAGGTTTGGCCACTTCCCATGGAAGGTGGGGAAGAGAATACAGAAGCTTTCAGTGCATCTAGAGTCCTCTTTTTTCAGGATTTGGAGATGTGTTTGTAATTTTGATTTTAAAGAAGTTATTTATGTTAGAGGGAAAAAAAAGGCTCGGGTGTGTGGCATGGCCAGGCTTCTCCATCCTCAAAAATCCCTTTGAAGCAGCCTTAGATATAATCCCCCTTAGAATTTTATAACTCCCCTTAGAATTCTCTGGGTGCAGGTATAGGTTTTGGCACCTGTGTGGGCTCATGTGAGGGCTCTTTGAAGGATGCCATGATGCCATGGGTCCCCTGACAGCCTTTAGATGGGGAAGTTTCTCTCCTGCCCAGCACATTACCAGCCTGCACTGTGGGGGAAGGAAAGCGCCATTTGGATTGACTGAAATGCATGAGTCGGCGTATCCAGATCACATCATGTGGATGAGACACTGGCAGAGTCTAGGTCATGCTTCATGTCCCCTCCAGAGTGACCCAGCTTTCTCTGCGCTCCTTTGCTCTCCTCACAATAGAGAACAGGGGGCCTTGGGGAGAATAGTGGGCTTTCCGGCCCATCCCCTGGAGGCCCAAAGAGTCCACTAAGCAGTGATCACTCAGGTGCACATAATCCTCAGTGTGGTCTCAAGGCCACACAGGGAGGAAGCCCAAGCTCACTGGAGACCATGGCCCCCCTGACTGGCTGCGGCAGCAAGGTCCCAAGCATCCAGTTTTCCAGTCAGTCCTGGGCAAACCGCCCCCCCCACCCCCTGCCCAGAGGAGCTCAGCCAGTCAGAATCATTTACCAAGTGCACCTGCTCTAGGCAGAAAACACACCAAGGTCGGATCAGAGAGCAAGTGAGCAGGGTGGCCCTCGCCCTCGGAGAGCCCTCCTATGCCCTGACCTGCCGCTGGCCGAAGGGGTGTGACTGCACGTGGCATGATTTCAGAAAAACAAATGTGTACACTAGCCACCTGCACGTAGTTCAACACAGGCGATCTTGAATAATCAAGGATTAACTCGGGTTAGAGGTCCTCTCTAATAGGTTAGGATTTTGCAGCAGTGTCAGAAGCTGGCAGAGAAGGAATAGATACAAGTAATGACGGGTTAGGGGACTCTTGATGGAAGTCTGTTGGTGCGAATACTGTAACCCACATGATGCTCTCTCCTTGCAAGTAGGAAGTTGGACCGTTACATCCAAGAAACCCTGTCCTTGGAGGCCCCAGGTGGGCAGCAGGAGGTGAAAACACACGGCTCTGGTGTCTCATGAGGACTGGGGACTCCAGTACGGAGCCCTCCCCTTGAGCGCCCCCTTCCCCTGTTGGGGAGAAGGCTTTTGTGCCTCTTTCTTCGAGAAATTGCTCTCCTGCAGGCAGGGCTTTAGGACTCAGCCTGCGGCTGCTCCATGGGGAGCACCAGAGGCCTCAGGCGACTCACTGTCTCTGTGTTGTGTCCCAAGGAAGGGAGGCGCTGCAGCGACCCAGCAGGCAGTGGTGATGCGCGGAGAGCGGGGCCAGGCGTCCCAGTGGTATTTCGGACGGGCCGGACCTCTGGCTTGGCACTTTTGATTCCTTCCTGTTGATCTTCCTATCCGTTGCTTCTGGGGAATGATGACTTCTGAATTTTAGCAGCCTTTTCCTGTCCCCAAGCCCATCTGTCTAAGATGGGTGTCGCTTCTGCTGATGCCACCGTGTCTCTCCAAATGTCCGTGTCATACTACCTGTTGCAATGGAAGATCCAATGTGTGGCCCTGGGTGGAGGAGGAGCAAACCTTTGGGATCTTTTGATTTGATATCCTGGCCATGTGTTTAAATGGGGACCACTTATAATTAAAGCCAGATTTGCTTTTGATTGTTTTTTAAGGTGATCTCTCTTTCTGCTGTTTTGTCTTCATTACCTCTCTTTCCTGCATTTTTCTTTCCTCCCTCCCTCCCAAATAACCCCTCATGCCTGTTATTTGGGATGCTTCTCTCAGGCTTTTTGTTGCTTTTGTGGCTAGATCTTATTGCAGCCAGAGAATCGTGATTGTTTGGTTGCCTTTTCTTCATAGCGTCTTCCATTTTTCTTTTATTGGCCGTGATTTTTCAGTCACCTGAGTTCCTAAGCCGTCACATTTATTGGTTGAGAAACAGATTCGCAAAGGCTGTTTTCATGTGTGGTTTTGCCCTTCCCTGCTCTGCCTGGTGCTGCCCGTGGTTAAGGGTTGGCTCTGGTGCTGGCTGCCACGCCAGGGGCCACAGGGGCCTGCCTGGACCCAGAGAGATGGGTTGGACCATAATAATCGGGGCACAGCAGTCTTACATCGTGTCTCTAGTCCATGCCACCATTTTTGTGCTCTGGCTGCCTGCCTGCAGTTTTGGCTCCTGCCTGCCTTCAGTTTGCCTGTCCCCATCAGTTTTTGTATCATCTGGTTTCTGGGTTTTTTTTTTTTTGTTTGGTTGGTTTTTTGTTTTTAAGACAATCAGCTGCGTGTGGATCTGTAGGTTTGAGGCACCCATCTCTTCTGTTTTGTTTTCCATTTTGTCAAATCCAAGAAAAACCTGCTATAATGAGCTAGAAGATTCTAGTTCACAGCCTTTTGAATCTCCAGAGTGCTCATGGCCTCTGAGAACCAAATGCATTTCCCCCCACCCAAGAGGTCTCTGGGGGCTGAGCTGCTAGAGGGGCGTTGGGACGGGCGGGGTGGGGGGTTGTTCCAGTACCGCACTGTGCATGCTTTCAGAGCAGCATCTTTTTTTTCCCTTTTTCCATTTTTTTGCTTTTTGTTTTTCTGTGGGTTTTTTTTGCATTTGAGTTATGAACGAGGGTGACCTCTACAATCATGATGTCTCCCATAGACTCAATCTCTCATTACTTCCCACTTGCTGGCTTCCTGATGCTTGCTCCTAATGCTTCTGTGATTTACTTTGCCCTAAATCATAGTCGTCAGCTGCCTTAACAACAGCTCCTTAGAGCTTTAAAAGGAAATACATGGAGGACAACTTTGTTTTCATTAGAAATCGGACATCCTGGAGATGGCAAGAGGGTGGCCTGGGGGCCGGGGACTGCACACACTGCCGTGTGTCAGACTGTACCTGATCCTGGAACTGGAGATGGTCCCAGGCTCTGGGAGTCTCACCATGTTATTGTTGGGGCAGCTGACATCCCATCTCCCACCCTGCCGCCCACATGTAGACAGTAGTGGAACCAGCTCCCTGAGCCCCTTTCCGTGTACACAGGAAAGGGAGCCATGTGAACCTTGTCCTGTTTCAGGGTGGCAAGGCCCCTCCCCTCTCCTTGGCAGAACTTGGCACCTGTTTGCCAGTAAAAAGAAGTGTGAAACACCACAAGAAGGAAGTCAATTCTGACCTCTGAAGGAGAGAAACCAGATTACCCCCACGGGCTCATTAGCTCCTCAAACTGGATCCACTACTGGCCAAAGAATGCAGATGGGGAACCCTGTCTGGATTGGGCCGGAAGCTGCAATTTGATGCTCTGCAAACCAGTGCTCAAAAGTGTGGTTATTTTTGAAAGACCACCTTCGATCCAGAACATGCGCATTACACCTTCCTTGCCCAGATCCAGTTAACAAGGTAGCTCATCGCTTCTTATGTCCGTTAAGAGCCATGCTGGGATTTTACTTTTCTCATGGGTTTACTTGGATGCAAGGAATATGTTCTGTTCCCCCTCCCCCTTTGATTTAGCACACCACCCTGGGAAGTGCATGTCACAGACCAACTCCACCTTCACCTTCACCACATGTCGTATCCTGCATCCTTCAGATGAGCTCACGCGGGTCACGCCAAGGTAAGGGACCCTGGCCCTGGGGTGGGTAAGGATGGGGATGGGGTGAGGTTGGGGTACTTCCTTCAAGCCTTATTGGCAAGAAAAGTCAAAGTATAGAGGCTTATTCAAAACCAGTTCGGGCCAGCTGAGGCATCTCATAGCGCCTGCTGTTTGGGGGTCCCATCTTCCCTCTTGGGTTGAGGCCCTTATTGATTCAGATCCAGCACAGAGAGACCCATACCCGGCCCTAGGTGCCTTTTTAGCTGGCCATCGCCCCTCCTCAACCAGCCAAAGTCGACACTACCACAGTCCGTAGGGCCATGTCTGTTGGGATTTTGTCCCAAAGTTTGTCAGTAGAGCATGAAGTTCCTCCACAGAATGGAGCTCCTGAGCCTTGTGGAGACCGCGGGCCTTTGGAATAGACTGGAACCATGTACCGCAGCCACATTGCAATGACTGAAATGATAAGACTTAAAGATCGAACTGTGTGCCCAGCGTGGTCCATTTTAATTTGGTGCCTTCAAGAAGTGATAGAGGTTGGACACCATCTGGCAAGAGGGCTTGGATGGCATGGGGGTCTGCTTGATTTGAGGCCTCCCAAAGCTTCTAGTGAAAAAGAAGACAGTCTCCCTACACGTGGTAAGGTGACCCCCTCAGCCCTTTTCTCTGTGGTGCAGTCAGGCAAGAGGCTGGGTGAATGGAAGGTGACGCAGGAAGGGAGGGAGGCAAGCAGGGCCAGCTCGGAGGGAGCGGCCGCCCCAGGGAACACCTTAAACTATGAATAATTCTCCGCAGGTCATGTGAGGAGGACGCCGAAGGGGCGAAGCGGCCCTATGCCCCGTTGAGCTGAAAGGAGATGTAGGGCAGAGAGTGAGCCCACAGGCGAGGCAGGGGTGAGCCCACCGCAGGCGGTGCCTGCCCCAGCAGGGCCACCTGGAAGGAGCTGTGTGTGCACGTGTGGCCGCCACTAACCCAGGCCTCAGGCGTGGATGTGTCTCTGTGGTTGTGCCTGGCTAACGTGGCCTTGACAGTGGATGCCCCTAACCCCTCTAAATGCTCAGTGGAGCCGAGTGCCGGCACTAATATGGGCCTAACCCAAGTTCCCAGCAGAAAGGGAATCTACATTTTAGCTTGTCTTCTCTGACTCCCTTCCTGCTTCTGGCGAACGCGGTGCCCCCACCCACGGCTCGATGTTGGAAGAGCCCTGTGGTTTTACCGTGCGCTGGAGCCTCTCCTGGGAGAGGCTGGTGCCTGGTGATCTGCTATCTGAAGCCTCAGAACTCAAAACAGCACTCCTGTCCCCATCCCTGGGTCCACGGGGCCTCGTCAGGGATGGAAAAGACCTGGGCATTCACTAGCCAGAGAAGGCTTTTTGCCTGGGTTCTAAAGGCTGGCGGCCTGAGACAAAAATCAAAGCTCTCCCTAAGAATGGCCTTGTAAACGAGACTTGAAGTCCCCAGTGTATTTGCCCGCCTATTGCTTGTAGAGCAGTGTTGTGGAATCCCACTTGCGCTTTTTGAAGAATCCAGTTCTTAACCTTAGGAATCTGCTGCGGCTTCTAATCTCGTGTCTCTGAGTGCTCCCGACCCTCCAGCATCCCCACCCCTGAGCTCGCGTGAGATGCGCCTGTTCTGGGTTTGTCACCTCGTGCCGACCAGCCGGCGGGCAAGGTCACCTGAGTGTGCAGCCAAATGATCCCTTAGCTTGAACTGGCTGTGAACTACCCATCCCCCAGCAGAAGGCCCCCCACTCAGGTCATTCCTGGGACCTAGTCCAGAGTGAGGCCCCTTCCTGCCCATGCCCCTCGTTGGTGTCTTGCCCAAGGTATCTATCTGGCTTTCCTTCTGCCAGGCTGGGTGGAGAAGGCTCCATTCCCTCCCAGCTCCTGGGGGCCACCCAGCTGGCCTGCTCCAAGGGGCACCTGCAGCCCTTGCTGTGTCCCTGGATAGGTACCAGCGCAAGGCTCTTAAGACTCTAAGGAGGGGCATGCGACTTTGCCCTTGGTGGTTTATGTGGCACCTGTGAAGCCCCATCCCTATCCCGGCTGTTAAGAGAGGGCCTTTCCTGATTTTGAAGCAGACAGCAATGTCTGTCTGCCTGCGGCCCCTGTTACCTATCTGTCCTCACTCCCTTTACTGCTGGACTCCAGCTTCTGGAACATAGCGGGTCCTCAGCCAGCATGACACAGTGGATGAAGGAATCTTGCTTTCCTTGAGCGACACAGGTTTCACACATCCTGTGAGCCTTTTTCTGGAAAGCTCCATTGGCAGGCCTGCTAGTATGTGACATGGCTGCCTCTGCCCCTGTAACTCCACTCATGGAGGCGGAATCGGAAACCACGGGAAGACGACCAAGGGGAAGCGCGGTGCAAGTGGGAAGGACATGATAGTGGAAGTCAGGAAGCCGGGGTCTGCTGCTGATGCTATGCACACCCTCAGCCTGTCTCCCTGTCACCCAAGGGCCCCCCACCTGGATGTCCCACCTGCTGGGGCCATTCCTGAGATAAGCCCTCAGATCCCATAGTCCTGGTTAACTCAGGGGATAGCCCTTAGGAAGGAACACTGGACCTTGAGTGATTTGGTAGGGAAAGAAAGCCTCTCTGCTGAAGGGCTCCCCCCACCCCCTATCTTTGGGGTCACCAGACTTGGGCTCAAGTCCTGGGTCTTCCACTTAATAGCTGAGCGTGATACTGAATAAGCCACCTAACCTCTGAGCCTGAATTTCATCACCTATAAAGGGGACAGTTATCCCCACTCTCTGGGGCTGTGACAAGGGAATCCTGTGCGGCTTGTTAACTTTGAACTATGCTATGCCCCCCACTTAAGGGAATCCAGTGTGCCCCCACCCCGGGAGGGAGGAACAGACATGGAAAGAGGCATCTGGGGAGCCTGGGTGGGGGGAGTCCTCCCTGCACTGCAGCAGGAGACTGGCCACCAGCCTTTTCATGGGGCTTGTGGGCATGTTCTGATGAATGACGTCTTGTGTTTTCTTATCAGCCTTAACTCGGCTCCAACTCCAGCTTGTGGCAGCGCCAGCCACTTGAAGTCCACGCCGGTGGCCACCCCGTGCACTCCACGGAGACTGAGCCTGGCCGAGTCCTTCACTAACACCCGCGAGTCCACGACCACCATGAGCACGTCTCTGGGGCTGGTGTGGCTGCTGAAGGAGCGAGGCATTTCTGCGGCCGTATATGATCCTCAGAGCTGGGACCGGGCTGGCCGGGGCTCCCTCCTGCACTCCTACACCCCCAGGATGGCGGTGATCCCCTCCACCCCCCCCAACTCGCCTATGCAGACACCCACGTCTTCCCCGCCCTCCTTTGAGTTCAAGTGCACGAGCCCTCCCTACGACAACTTCCTGGCCTCCAAGCCAGCCAGCTCCATCCTGAGGGAAGTGAGGGAGAAGAAGAGCGTCCGGAGCAGCGAGAGCCAGACAGACGTGTCCGTCTCCAACCTCAACCTCGTGGACAAAGTCAGGAGGTTTGGCGTGGCCAAAGTGGTGAACTCAGGGCGAGCCCACGTCCCCGCCTTGACTGAGGATCAGGGACCTCTCCTCTGTGGGCCCCCGGGCCCAGCCCAGGCCCTCGTCCCCGGAGGCCTGGTCCCCGAGGGCCTGCCTCTCGGATGCCCCACCGTCACGAGCGCCATGGGCGGGCTGCAGCTCACCAGCGGCATCCGGAGGAATCGCAGCTTCCCCACCATGGTGGGGTCCAGCATGCAGATGAAAGGCCCTGTGGCTCTCACCTCGGGCATCTTGATGGGTGCTAAGCTCCCCAAACAGACTAGCTTCCGGTGAGGACGGAGGCAGGCCCTTCCCCTGGAGGAGACCAGTCCTGCTCCTGCCTCCCCCCCGCCCCCCGCACTGTGTGCTCTCCCTCTCTCCTCCTCCGTCCCTCCCCTCTTGAGCTAGACAAATCAACCTCGTGCCTAATGGGGGAAGAGGGACACTGCACAGTGTGTACATGGGACTTGGAGACCTGGTGTCCACCCTGCCCTTCCTCCATATCCCACGGGAAGGGCCCTAGCGCCGTCACTGCTGTCACCGGAATGTTGTATAGCGGGGGGCAGGGGCAGGCAGGTGGCCCTTTCTCCTCCTCTGAGAAGCACTGAAACCCCAAGAGCGTTCTTATCCCATGGATAGGAAACCAGTGAATCCGTGGCTGGCCCCCAGGGCTGTCCATCGCGAGCCGGCTCGGGGCACGATGCCTCTGCCCCCCGGTGTCGCTGGGCACCTCCCCTCGCTCGCCCTGGAAGAGCACCAGGAGCCTCGGTCTGTGGCCACACGCAGCTGATGTAGCTTTCAGGATCGCAGGGCTGTTCTTTGTTTCAGGGGTGGCCGCGCTTCCTCAAGACCGTCACTACTCTGCTTCAATGGAGAGTCGCTTTTTTTTTTTCCATGCCTTCGATCTGAATCACCCTTCGATGTCCTGTAATCATTTGTCAGGCCGGACGTCTGGCCTGAAAGAATGTATTCACACTCCCGCCGCACCCTCAGCCCCTGTGTGTTCTGCGTGAGGTTTTCGTTTTCTGTTTTCTATATGCAGGGAAGTAATGGTACTAGATAGAGAGTCATGGTCCCTGTCCTGTGGTCCTAGGACACGGGCATCACACGGTTTCCAACATACCGAGCTGCTACTGAGATAGCGGCAGAGTTTGGGGACCCAGTGTCACAACCAAATTAAGACCAGACCCAAGATACTTCTAACAATAGGATTACAAGGAAAGGGGGTAAGGGGCGAAGGCTGTGAGTGGAATTTGTCAACAGTAGAAGTCAAAAGAACCACAGCCCACCTGTAACACCAGCCTGTTCATGGGGGAAATGAGGCTTGGGCATTCTCCTGGTTCCAGCCCTTCCTCGGATGCCCGAGACTGGTCCGCGTGTCTTCACGCGTGTGGTCTTGATGCAGGCATTCAGCGCCCACACCTTGTGCCCTCGTGTTTCGGAACCGAGTGCTACAACTCGGTATTTTCTCCCGCCCTCCTCTCCCGAGCCCTGGGTCTCCGTGTGCAGCTGTTTAGGAAAAGATGGAGGTGCTTGTGGGAAGAACCGTACCTGAACATGGGAGCCTGGTCCTGTGTTGTCGCTGACAGAGTTTGGAACTCTTATTTATTATTTGTGTGTGCTGTATTTTAAACCTCCACCCTCCTTTCCCATTCCAGTCACAGTGTGGCTGTGGCATTCCAATCCAAGCAGGTAACTTATTTATTCTAACCTGAGGACGGCGCCATCCCTCAGGGTTCCGTGGTCCTTCGTCCCAGCCATTTGTGGAAGGGTAACATCACATGCAGATGAAATCGTCGCGTTGCTGTCCCGTCCCCCACCCCTCCCCAGATGTGTCCAGTTGAGTGTAAACTTGCGCCTCCTGAGGCATCTTTGAGAAAGTCTCAAAGGAGCAAACTTCAGTACCCCAATTTTAGATTATTTATTCTCAGAACATGAGGGTGCGGGTTGTTTCCAACCCCCCTCCTGGTTGTATGCGTGCATTCACTGCAAGGAAATTTTTTATTTGAATGTATTTTAAAGCAGTAGGTAGAATAACAAAGTATGAAAACCACGAACTGATGGACCACTTTATGTATTCAGAGAGGAGCCACCATCACCACAAAGGAAATACCATGTAAAAATCGGCCATTCGGAGGTTGCAGTACTTAGTATAGTTCATGATCAACCTTGTGCAACCACTACCAAAAAAGTGTGTTGTGATGCATCAGAAAACAATACAATTCCATTCTCTAATGAATATCAATAAAATAAATTCAAACGATGGGAACCACACTTGGATTCTGGCTTGTATTCCATTTTTCATCGTTTTCATGGAGGAGATCTCTTTGTGGGAGACCCAAAGCTGTTTGGCTCTTGGGAAGGGTTAAATGAAAGGCATATACTGTACCTACTGTTACAGCCACCCTTTTCACACAATACTACAACTTAGACAACTTTCCAGTTGGAACCTGGAGAGCTTCCCTACTTTTCAGGGTTGTCTACTATTCCACCATATACACCATCCACACGTATCCATTCAGACCCCTGTGGACCAGCACCCTAGGGCTGGGCGTGGACTTAATTCTCGCCTTTTCTAGCACAGCCCTGTAATGGGGGGGGGGGGGAGGATCTTTGCCTATATGTCATTTTCATATATGGGAACACATCTATGAGATAAATTCCTAGGTAGAGGTTACCAAATTGCCCTCCACAGTTAAGAAACTTCCAAAAACTGGGGCGCCTGGGTGGCTCAGTCGGTTGAGTGTCCGACTTCGGCTCAGGTCATGATCTCAGGGTTCGTGGGTTCGAGCCCCACATTGGGCTCTGTGCTGACAGCTCGGAGCCTGGAGCCTGTTTCAGATTCTGTGTCTTCCTCTCTCCCTGACCCTCCCCTGCTCATGCCGTTTCTCTCTCTCTCTCAAAAATAAATATTAAAAAAAAAAAAAAAACTTCCAAAACCTGAGGACGGCAGAGGATCATCAGAGAATTGGGAGGGAAAGGATAAAACGTAACCTGCCACCTCAGTATGTTAAAGCAGTGAAATGGTGCAGCAAACATAGGAATGGGTGGTGGCAGCATGTATTTTAAATCAGATGCTACCATTCGGGAACACTGTGACCTTGAGCAAGCCCCTTACAGTCTTTGGGGCCTTTTTTATAACCTGCAAATGTGAACAGTAATATCTACCTACGGGTTAATTAGCTGAGTAAATTTATCTGGAGTATCTACTATGTGAGACATTGTTCTAGGCGGTGGGGAGCTAAGTACTTCTGCCCCGTGGATATACGGTCCAAATATGGTATAGTAAGGACCATGCAGAGAATTACAGGGAGGTGTACGCTGGGCAATCACAGAAGGCCTCTCCAGGAAGGTGGCATTTGATTCAACGGTGTGACATCTGACACAGACCATGTGGGCAGAGAGCAGCCGGCACAAAGGCCGGAAAGCATTTGGTGTGTCTGAGGAGCGGAAAGGCGGCCCACACGGCTGGTAGACAAAGGGAGCCCAGGTGCGACAGGGAAACGAGGGTGCTCACCACATGGTCCGTCTGATCCCCGTGCCTCCTGGCCACTCTTTCGTGGACAAGACACATGTAGTTCTGGCCTGTGGCCGGAAGTCCACGCGGGGAGAAATACATGTGTGATTCTCCACGTGCCTCCCTTCCCCTGAAGCACATGTTGGAACGGTGTCTGCTGTTGGTACAGCCTCCACCATCCAGGGGTGCCCAGGAACCGTATAGACTAGGCTCCCTGCCAACTCGCGTTTGGCATGTGATCTGAAGGACAAACTTGTTAAGCCAGTGAGTTTCTTGGGTAGTAGGTCAGAATCCCCGTGTGTAGGGCCCATGCATCGGTACTTTACCAAGCCCTCCAGGTGATTCTGGGACTAAAGTTTGAGAACCACTGTGTAAGGACCAGGCTGAGTCGGTTGGGAGTCTTGCCATGGGAGGGAGATTTGCCTCCCCACTCTCTCCCTGTCTCAGGGGCTCGAGGAGGCCAGGCAGCTGCAAGCCACCTTGCTTGAAGGGGAAAGTAGAATGAGACTTTATCAGCTCAGCTGGGGCAGGAAGGCATGGAGACAAGGTGACCCTGGATCTGGGCTTCAAGGATGGGTAGGATTTGCCCCAGGGTGGGGGTGGGGTGGGGTGGCAGGAAGGCATTCCAAGCAGAAGGAAAAGAGGAAGAGGAATGGGGAAAGGATCCTAGGATGCATTTTTCTAGGTCTTTCTTCACAGTAGTGGGGTAGCTGATAAATACAGAGGGCCAATAGAGTTAGAGAAACCATGGTGCCTGCAACCATAGAACTAACTGATGTTGACAACAACAGATGCCCAAACCATTGAGAGTTTGTTAGAATAATTGCGCACATGTCCTCCCATAGAATGTTTATGAATTTGCAAAGGGGGAAAGATGCCTTTGCAGTGGAGAAACCTGTCACACACCACTTTCTTTTTTTTTTTTTTTTTACAAATAGTTTATTGTCAAATTAGTTTCCACACAACACCCAGTGCTCATCCCCACAAGTGCCCTCCTCCATGCCCATCCCCCCCTCCCCCCCACATCCATCAGTCCTCAGTTTTTGTCAGCATTCAAGAGTCTCTCATGGTTTGCTTCTCTCCCTTTCCCCCACCATTTCCCCCCTTCTTCTCCCAATTGGTCCTCTGTTAAGTTCTTCCTAGTCCTCCTATACGTGCACACATATGATATTTGTCCTTCTCTGCCTGACTTACTTCGCTCAGCATAACACCCTCAAGGTCCATCCATGTAGCTACACATGGCCAGATTTCATTGTTTCTCATTGCCATGGAGTATTCCATGGTATAGATAAACCACATCTTCTTGATCCATTCATCTGCTGATGGA